TCCATCCATCCATCCATCCATCCATCCATCCATCCATCCATCCATCCATCCATCCATCCATCCATCCATCCCTGGCACAGGAACAAGCACCATGCCATGATCATTCATTGTTTGTCACCCTTGAGACAAGAAGTCTGCCATTTCTACGTGGGGGCTGGCACCTCCATGGACCATGTGCTGCAGAGATCAGTCACTCTTGCTCCTTAAAACTGGCCATTCCAGGAAGTAGCCATAGTTTTGGCTTAGATAATTCAAACCTTTATTCCTTCCTGTGTCTCCAGGAACAAAATCTAGCTGTTGTTCTGTTTGGGGCACATCCAGACAAAATGAGAGCATTCAGTTAGGCTGGAGATAAGCTTGGTATGCTGAATACATCTGAATATTTGGAGGTAGAATGGCACTTTGTAATCCTTTCTTTAAATAAACAATTCTTAAAATATTGTGGGGTGCCTTGAGGTGATATGGTGTGGAGGTCTACAGAGCCTGTCTTCTTGCAGCAGAAGGGATTGACAGTTCTTCTAAAGCACATTAAGATGTGGATCTGCCTTTGGGATGGTTTGGGGTGTATGTGATTTGTTTGCCCCATAAAGCATCACTCAGAGTTGCCATTTTGGGGACACTATCTAAAGAAATAAATGGACTGTTACTGCACCCATTAAACTGGACAGAAAAGGTGCAGCTGGAGGATCTCAGCTCGGGAAGGATGTCCAGGCAGGCAGGGTGACATGCTTTGGAAAAACATCACACCACTGGCATCTTCAATTTAAATGAAAGACCAAGAAGAGTGACAGGGACTACACGTGGCCTGCTTGCTGCACATGGGCTCCTCTGCCTTTCTTCCCCCATCTCATCTCCATGGACAGGGGATTGTTCCACTCCCATCTCCCTAACAGGCCTGGGACCAAAACATTAGGAAATCCTGATGAGGTCTTGCCTGCAGCTCTGTCTTGAAACTCTGTGCAGAAGCTGTGCTGCAAATTCCTGTCAGAGGTTGGTACCAGCTATGGCTGAGGRTCTTCCCTGGCTTTGGGAAGGGCTCTTGGAAGAGGGTTTGAAGGCTTGCTCGCTCCCTTTGGAGAATGGAAACCACAACTGTGACTGTACCCAGCTGTGAACTGGGGTTATATCTTCTCAAACCAGTGTATAAAGCCTGAGCCAGATCTGCTGCATTTTGGGCATGTCTGAAAACATGGAATTCATGCAGAATTTTAAAAACTTCTAGGGTAAGAGAAATCAGATCAAGCTTGGTAGTGAAAAATTCCTTTTAGGTGGGCATCAAATCTTAAAAAAATCCTCTCTGTGTGCCAGCTGGAATGCACTGGTGATGATCATGGTACCATAGGATGGTTTGAGTTGGAAGAGACATTAAAGATCATCCCATTCCAGCCCCCTGCCATGGGGAACAATATCTTGATATATGGTATTTGCTTAATTAGTGTTGGGAAAGATTCTCCCCTCATCATTATCCAGCTCTCCCATTTGAAAGCGGGGCATAATTACTCCATTATGGGTTATGTTGGGTTATTTGATTTTCTGTCTTGAAAAATCCTATTTATATTGAAAAAGCACCTCAGTTTAGTGGGGTCTTTGCCTATTCCCATCTTCTGCAGCGATGCGATTACAGGAGCTGCTCAGGTTTCTCACCAGGGAAGTCGTTATACCCCTACAAAGGGCTCATTTTCTAGTGAGTAATCCAGGAGTTTGAATAGTGAATAAGCTCTAAAGCCCCAGAAAACCAAAAGAAAAGCGAAACAAAAGGCAGCCAAAGAAGAGCAGGAGGCTGTGGGAAGAGCTTAGTCTCTGCCCAAAGCACACTGTGTCTTGCCAAAGGCCAGAAYTAGGAGAGTCACAGTGAAAATGCAACTTCTCACTGTCGTGCCTCTAATGCCAGGGCTACTGACACAGCTCAGAGGCCAAAAGTGGCTGCCACCACTGAGATGTAAAACTGTGCTCCTGGTGATTTAAGTTGCCAGGGGCAAGATGCAAAATGTGGTGGTTTGGGGAAGGACTATCAGATAAAAATCCCCTGAAACTCTTCTTCTTTTCCAGGCCTGCCAGGTGTCTCATCATTTTCAGCCTCTGCCTAGGACTTACCTTCCTCTCAGGATTCTTCCATATGAAGAATAAGAATTACAGGTGAGTGAGGCAGAAGCAAGATTCTTCAGTTTTGTATGCGTGGTGCAGTGGGGATGTGACCTCTGACACCTGATTTATCTATCATGAGACTTGGGCTAATGCTGGAAGGGTGATGGCCCAAAACTAGATCCTAGATCCATGTTTGGGGAAGGAATCAAATTAGCCAAAGYGCAGCTCTTTGGGACAAAATCAGCTGTGTGGGAAAAGAAAAGGGGATTGAGCTGAAGTATTTGGTAAATGAGAAYCAGGAGAAGGAGAAAACTGTCTGACATCTACACTGGAGGTTGGGGCTGCCTTGTGTGCAGCCTTGGACCAGCTGCAGATGTGGTGTCAGAGGAGCACCTGGGTTTGGCTTTGCGAGGTCTTGGAAAAGAGGTGCAGCACCCAAGAGCCTCTTTGCCCCACCCGTGTCCTTCCTGCAGAATCTCAAAGAGCCAAGAGGAGCTGCTGATCCCTCCCACGCTGTGCCATGCCAAGACAAATGTCATGTTCCTCAAGACCCACAAGACGGCCAGCAGCACTGTGCTCAACATCATGTACAGGTTTGCAGAGAGGTACAACCTCACTGTCGCCCTCCCCGCTGGCCAGCTCTTCCACCTGGGATACCCCAGCACTTTCCTGGCCCGCTTTGTGGAGGGGTTTGAAGCCATTGGCCAAAATTACAACATCATGTGCAACCACCTGCGGTTTAACCTCTCGGAGGTAAGGAAGAGCCGTGACACCTGCAGAGAAACCTGGGTGGGACAGCAGGACTAACCTCTTCTTCCTCCCACAAATAGGTGCAAAAGGTGATGGCASCCAACACCTTCTACTTCTCCATCCTGAGGAACCCCATTCGTCTGCTGGAGTCCTCCTACATCTACTATAAGCACAATGTCCCTGCCTTCAGTAGATCCAAGGACGTGAACGAGTTCCTGGCATYGCCCACCAAGTATTACCACCCAGCAGATTACAGGCAGAACATCTATGCCAGGAACATCATGTGGTTTGACTTTGGCTACAATAACAATGCAGAGGATGACCCAGAGCACACCCAGACCATTCTGGAGGAGATCGAGCAGAACTTCCAGCTCATCTTGATAGCAGACTACTTTGATGAGTCCATGATCCTCTTGAAGCATRCTTTGTGCTGGGACCTGGATGATGTGATTTACTTCAAGCTCAATTCCAGAAGCCACGACACTGTCCAGACATTGACTCCAGAAAGTGAGGAGCGGATAAAAACGTGGTGTTCACTTGACTGGAAGCTCTACCTGCACTTCAACCAGAGCTTCTGGAGGAGAATTGAGGAGACCATAGGGCTCGAGGTGCTGGAGAAGGAGGTGGATCAGCTGCGGGCCAGACAGAAGGAGCTCATGGAGACCTGTCTGTCAGAGCAGGAGGCAGTGGGGAAGGATAACATCAGCAACAAAGCTCTCCTGCCTTTCCAGTCAGGGGTTGCCAATATCCTGGGGTACAACCTCAAGCAGGACTTGGACAACAGGACTCTGAGAACCTGTCAGCAAATGGTCATGCCAGAGCTCCAGTACATGTCCTACCTTTACGCTGTCCAACACCCRCACAAGAGGAGGAAGGAGCTGGGATTGCCATTGCTGTGGACCAGACCCCAGGAGAAGATGAGACACCCAATGCCCAACTAGGACACGTGGCAAACCACTGAGGCTTCCCACCGCTTTGCATCACCCCATGTCTGACACATAACGGACCCACAGGACTCTTGTGCATGAGAGGAGGCAGTGGGGCTTTGTTTGGGGTCACCAAGTTGGTGGTTGGTCCCTTTTTGGGGACCTTGAGCCCAAGGCTTTGCCTTGGCTGGATCCTGGGTGCTCCCTCCTGCYTGCTCCCAGCTGGAGAGAGCCAGGCTGGCTGCAGCTGGCCCAGACATTCCAGCCTCTTAATCATTAACCACAAGTGTGATCATTTGCCTTCATTTGATTTTATTTGATATCCATCATTACGTCCAGTCTGGTCACAGCTCACTGGAGTAAGTCCTGATTTGGGGGGGTTTTGGGGAGGGGCAGGGAAATGAGGAGCAGGGGGATGGTGGCTGTCCCATCCAGCAGCACCCACACTCAGTGAGGAATAATCACCACGAGCTGCCTTTGGGATGGGAGTCCTGAGCACCTGAAGCCAGGCAGGCTGGCTRCCTTGCCCAGTGGCATGTAAACTGTGTCCCTCACATTGTCACGATGTGCAGGGCCTCTGTCCCATGTGGGACAGGCTGGTGCTCCCCTGGGAGGAGGTGGTGTGGTTTTGCCCTTCAATCTCAGGCAGGAGTCCCTTGGCACGGGTGCTCCTTTGGGCTCAGCATCCCTGAGGCCCTTTATCAGCAGAGGCTTTTTTGGGGCTCCCCTTGATGTGTTRTCCAARCTCTGCAGCATGGATTAGGAGGGGWTGGAGTGAGGCACAGCTTTGGGCACACCAATGCCATCCAGGTCCCCACTGCTACCCTGAGCAGCCCAAGCAGGAGGAGCTGCTGGCTCAGCTTTAAAATGAATCTCACTGTTGGCACTGACAGGTGTGTTGGGAACAGGTGACAAGCGGTGACAGCAAATCCATTGAACTTGGTGCTGCCATCCTCACAAAACTTCCTGGCACTGCCACAGCAGCAGGGCCTGGGCTGGCAGGATGGGGAGGATGGATTTGGGGTCACTTGGCTGGCAGGGCTGCTTTTGGGGTGAAGCTGTGGGGCAGCAGCTCCAGCAGGGAAACAGGAATGGTGCTGTCAGGGGGAGAAGGGTGAGAACCTGAGCCGGGATTTTCCTCAGCTGAGGCAGGGGTTAACCAGCCCAGGTGTCCAGCAGGAACAACCCAGATTAACAACACCTTCACAGTGCCCTGCTACGGGAACCCTCACTGGAATTAACCCAAGGCTTGGGAGGCATTTGTAGCAGCCAGGCGGAGCTGCTGGAGCCACACGTGCTCRCCCTGGACCACCCTTCTGGGATTGTTCTGCAGCCTCTGCCTCAGTTTTTCCCTTGGAGCTTCTGATGCCTGGCTTGCCATGTGAATTTTGTCAAGCTCTTTTARCTAAACTGATGACAAAGAYGGAATATAARTATAAAAATAGTTTCTTWGTAGCTGMTCTGTGTGCAGGTGGGAKTCCWGGGAAGGTTGGGGATCTTGGGAGARCTGGGGGTCCTGGGAAGTTTGGGAATTCTGTGATGCTGGGGRTCCTGATGGGGCTGGGGGATCCTGGAAATGCTGGAGGTCCCGCAAGGGTGGGGAATCTGGGGAAGGTTGGGGTCCTTGAGAACGCTGAGGATCGTGGAAAGGCTGGCAGTCCTGGCAGGGCTGGGGGTCCACAGAAGGCTGGGGTTCCTGGGAGGGCTGGGAGCCTCTGGAGCACAGCGCCCAGGCTGGGGAGCTCACGGTGAGCTGTGGTGAACATGGGCTGGAGCGCCTGGACAGGGAAATCTAACCTCTCCCAGCCTGCCGGAGGAGGGAAACTGAGGCGGGAGATGCAATCCCAGCCCCATGGATGCCCTTGCTTCCCCTGCCAGGGGGTCCGAGCAAGGACACTCGGCAGCCGCGGGGCCCCGGCGCTGTCCGGACCCATAAGGGCTCCTTTGTGCCACGGGCACCGCACCAGCGGCGCCGCTGCTGACTCAGCGCTTTTTGCCGGGCACCGCGGCCGTGGGAGCCCCGTGACCATCGGAGGGGGGACCCTGCCAGGGGAGGGGGTGGCAGCGGAGCAGCGAGGCGGCAGCTCTGCAGAAAGCCGGCATTACCCCGTGCTGGGRCCGAGGGGACACTGCAGCCGAGCGGGACCCGGTGAGTGCCTTCWCTTTCTCCGGGGGGTCTCGAATCAGCAAAAGCTCCTGTGAAACCACGGGCGAAAGTGGGTCATGGCTGAGCCTGGAGTGGGTGCTCATCTCCCTCTGTGGTGATAAATTCCAGGGAAATGTAGGGACACGTAACGGGACTGCTGAGCCTCGTGTCACTCCTGTCCCTGAAGGAAAGGTGTTTGGGGACAGCTCTCACCCAGTGCCACAGGGACAGCCTGGCCGGGGACCCCCCTTTCCGTGCTGTGCACCTCAGATTCCCCCACAGAGGAGGGGGAACAAGGGCCCCGCTGGGTCCGTTGCACTGGAGGCACCAGAGGCACAGGACACAACMCTCCCWKACCCTCTCACCATGAGCTGGGCTGSTTTGGGGGTCTCCTCTGTGGGCTCTGCCCTCCCAACGCCCGCTGGAAGAGAGCAGGGAGCTGCAGGGCTCACYCTGCCCTCTGCTCACTGGCCTTGATTTCGCAGGAGCGCATCTTAAAGATCAAATCCATTTTATTTCATTTGATTTTGGGGTCTCCGGATCACCCTCCTCGCTGGTACCCTATGTCCTGGCCCCACTTGGTACCTTGTCAGGGCGCGTTCAGCCCCCTCAGCCCCTGCTCCCGGGGGGTTACCAGACCCACCAAATGAACCCCAAACCCTTCCGAGGGCAGCCCAGCATCCCCGGCCATGCCCCGCCGCCTTCACCAACCCACGGGACCCTTCTGCCGCAGCTGCCATGGGCTCCCGGCACTTCCCGGCGCGGACCGTGCTGTTCGAGAGGGAATCCACCGGGGTCACGTACCGTGTGCCCGCCCTGCTCTACCTGCCCTGCGTGGCCAAGCTGCTGGCGTTTGCCGAGGAGCGCCTGAGCGCCGACGATGCCCACGCCAACCTGCTGGTGCTGCGCCGCGGCTCCATCTACGGCAGCTACGTGGAGGTGGGACAGGGGTGTCCCCTGGGCTGGGGACAGACCGGGRACTGTCCTCACCGCTTGTGTGGGGCACAGCCAAGCTCCTGTGGCAGCCCCGTGGGGAGGGGAGGCTGGGAGGGGTGAAGTGAATCAGGGTTGTGAGCTGGTTTGTGCTGGAAGGTGATGGATGCCTGGGGATTTTTGTGTTTTATTTTTTTGTACTCTTTTAGACATTTTCTGTGGCCCTTATGTATTCCTTGTACCCTTAACCTACAGGTCTGTAATTCTTGTGGCCTGATATTCCAGTTTAGTTTTGGGGTTTTGCTGAGCAGAGACCAAACATCCTCAGGAAGGGGTCAGTGTGCCCTGTGCTATCATCTCAAACTTCTCTCTGTAACATTGTGTAAACTGGGCTCTGACCTTATCCTGGGGAGAGATTCTTTAGAATAGGGGGACATTACTTCATTTGTTAAGTTTCTTATTGGGGAATTTTAGATGGATTAGCTAATTTCTGAGGTCTGTAAAAAATTACATACGTATTATACACAGGGTGCACCTTTRGCATTTTCCACCTGATGAGCTGTGCACCTGGGATCCCATTAAAATACAGAGGGGAAAAAAGGTTTTCCCTTTCCCTTAACTGTGTCTGCCTTATAATTCAAATCTGGCCATTAAGGCAACAAAGGGACCTCAAAGGCCATCTCCTTCCATGCCTGTCACAGCAGGGACACCTTTTACTATCCCATCATCATCCAAGCATTGTCCCACCCAGCCGGGAACACTTCCAGGGATCCAGGGGCAGCCACAGCTGCTCTGGGTAAACAAGTAGGGTGGTCCTTACCCCCCTCACCCCTCTCCATCATCTCCCCCTCCTCCTGCTCCCTGGGCAGTGGGAAGACATGCGTGTGCTGGAGACGGCAACCCTGCAGCACCATCGCTCCATGAACCCCTGCCCGCTCTACGATGAGTTCACGGACACCCTCTTCCTCTTCTTCATCACGGTGCTGGGCAGGACGCCTGAAGCCTACCAGATTGTCACTGGCCAAAATGTCACCCGCCTGTGCTGTGTCACCAGCGCTGACCAGGGCCTGAGCTGGAGCGCAGCCACGGACCTGACACAGCAGGTCATTGGTGCCACCATCAAAGGTACCCAGCTGGGGTGGGTTGGGGTGAGGGGAGAGAAAGGGGGAGGTGGGGATGGGGTTTGTCCTCCTGGAGCCACATCGCTGGGGGTGTCCTTGAGATAGGGAACCCACAAGCTTCCAAAAGGGTGGAAGGGGACCTCAAGCAGAGGGGAGAAGGGATGGAGGGAATATCTGTATCAGGATGGGGAGAAGAGGGAGCGGCCCCATCGCCGTGGGTTGGGCYATGTGTGAGGGCAGCCAGGCAGCGCTGGGCTCTGCTCCCCTCCCTCGGCACCACCTGCCCTGGTGTGACTGGGAGGAAGCCCTGGGRGCCCTTCCACGCCGGGCACCGCGCTGGTCACTCTTTAACCTGCCCCATCTCCGCTCCCCAGACTGGGCGACGTTCGCGCTGGGCCCCGGGCACGGGATCCAGCTGCGCTCCGGCCGGCTGCTGGTGCCCGCCTACAGCTACCACATCGACTGCAAGGAGTGCTTCGGGCAGCTCTGCAAGACCACCCCGCACTCCTTCGCCTTCTACAGCGACGACCACGGCCGCGGCTGGCGCTTCGGCGAGTTCATCCCCAACCTGCAGACGGGCGAGTGCCAGCTGGTCTCGGTGGACGAGGAGGACGGCTCCAACGTCCTCTACTGCAACGCCCGCAGCYCCCTGGGCTTCAGGGTGCAGGCGCTCAGCACGGACGATGGGGCGGTGTTCCACGGGGGGCAGCTGGTGCAGCGGCTGGTGGAGCCGCCCCACGGCTGCCACGGCAGCGTTATCGGCTTCCCCGCTCCGCTCGTGTATATCCCCGCCGTGCCTTCCCGGGACCCCGCCGTGCCGCTCCGGGACCCCGCCGTGCCGCTCCGGGACCCCGCCGTGCCTCCCCGGGACCCCGCCGTGCCTCCCCGGGACCCCGCCGTGCCTCCCCGGGACCCCGCCGTGCCGCTGCCCGGGCTGCTCCGGGGCTTTGGGCACCCGGCCGGAGATACTGAGCCGCCCATCAGCAGCCACCGCGAGCAAGAGGAGCCCCGTGAGGATTGTCCYAGCCCAGAGCACCGCGATGATGCCCACAGTGCCGCCTCTGTCCGCGGGGACTCTGCAGCAACCCCCAGTCCGTTCTTCCAAGCGCCGACGTGGATCCTCTACTCGCACCCCACCAGCTCCATGTCGCGGGTCAACATGGGCGTTCACCTGAGCACCTTCCCCAGGGACGCCGAGAGCTGGACAGAGCCCTGGGTCATCTACGAGGGCCCGAGCGCTTACTCGGACCTGGCGTACATGGAGCTGCCCTACAGGGACGCGCCGGTGGCCGGCGGCACGGCCATCGCCTTCGCCTGCCTCTACGAGAACGGGCTGCGCTCGCCCTACGAGCAGATCTCCTTCAGCATGTTCACCCTGCACGATGTGCTCCAGAACATCCCCCTGACGGCCACTGTCCCCCGGCCGGGCCGCGGCCCCACTCGCCACCGCGCCAAGAGGCGGCCGAGGAGCTGCCTCATCTCCTAGAGCCCCYCAGGGCAGCTCCATCACCCCAGAGCCACCGTCCAGCACAGCCATGTCACACAGAGCCGTGTCACTGTCCCCAMACTGGGGTTTAGCTCGGTTTTATTGCTATTTTTTTAAATTATATTGGGTGGGGAGGTTTTTGCCCCCAGCCCAGCTCAGGCTCCTCCCCATCTCTGGAAAGTGGAGGACAGCAGCAGCAGTGCAGGGGGAGGCAGCCGGGGGTGCCCTCTGCCATCCCTGAGTGCCAGGGACAAAATGCTCCAGCTGTGCCACATCTGGTACCAGCACCCTCTTCTGAGGGGCTTCCTTCCCTTGTTATAAATTGTTATCCTACATTAAATGTTCTGTAATGTTAAATTCTTTGTTTTTCATGAAAAGACTGTTTCTCAGTGGTCTCTCTGGAGTCACTGTGAGGGTTTGGGTTGGGTTAGAGTTCTGTTCCTTTGTCGTAGCTGGGATGGGGCTGGGTTTTGTATTTGGGCTGATGACAAAGAAATGGTTGTGTTGCATTACTGTCTGTCTGGGGTTTTAGTTCTCTCTTGTTGTTAATGTCCTTTTCATTACAGCTCATTATTATTATTTCAATTATTAAACTGTTCTTATGCCAACCCACGAATTGTCTCCCTTTCCCCCTCTGATTCTCTCCCATCCCATGGGATTGGGATGAGTGTCTGGGTGGTGCTCAGGTTCCAGCAGGGTTCAGCCACCCCAGTGACCCAGTAACTGTTTTACCTGGCCAGGGCTTTGGGTTTTAATGTGCTGTGGCCACCACTGCCCTCCCCTGGCCCTGGTCAGCCTGGGGACAAACCCCTCCCAGYACGGGCAGGCTCAGGGTCCTGGAAAGGTTATGGGGAGCACAGGAGTGGGGTTCTGGTCCTGGGAACAAGAAGCAGCTGCTCCTGACAGGTKTGGGGGAACTTTGGGGGAATTTTGGGGGGCTGCATCTCAATTCCAGCTCTGCTTGCCCCAGCACAACTGTGTCCAAGTGCCCCAGCTCAGCTCCTCGGGTCTCCTGCCCCTCTCCTGCCCTAAACGTGACCTGGTTAACAAAAGYTGGAGTTCAGCTCTCCTGTCTGGGWCACCACCGTGTCTCATTCTRTACCCRGGGYRGGCAGAGGCTGACAAGTGACAGACAATGTGGAGAACAGAAATTTCCAGTTCCCTTGAAGCTGCAAAACAGAACTCAAAGACTAATTAGCAAATTAGATAAAATGATGTAAAAGCAGGCCACGGGATGCTAAAGAGAGCTGGAACCAGGGGAGAAACAGGTAAGGAGGAWCACAGTGACTTTTRTGGCAAAGTTATGTAACAAGAAACAACATGAGACAACTTCTCATGCCCGGAGAGAAGTGCAAGGCAAGGTCACAAAATTGGGGCACTCAGTGAGTGCAACCACAGACCCCTTTAGACAACCTTCTAGGACCAAAAAAGGCCTTTCAGGAAAGGGTGGAGGCATGAAATTAATTCTAGGAAAGTGACGTTTATGTATTAGCTAGGAAATCCTTTGTAGTGAACGTGTCTGATGACAGTAGAACAAATACAAATTTCACATTTCAGTTACAGGGAAATCTCCCAAATGTGTCCAGTGCTGTCATAAAAAAATTCTGTTTTCTGCTGCTTCAAATTGTGTCAGTGAATTTGTTCTCTGGCTCATTTTGGTGCCACAAGGAGCGCCTGAGGTGCTGCTGGGCTCCTGCTGGGGTTTTGGACCTGCACCCCTGACCGGGCAGTGTCCAGCCCCAAAGGGARGGGTGTGCCCCAGGCCGGGGGATTGCACAGGAGCAGCTCTTGGCACATCGGCCCCAAACGCTGCTTCACCACCGGGGGGGTTCGTGCCCCTTGGAGGACTGTTCATCCCTCTGGGGACACTGTTCATCCCCACGGTGACTCTGTCCATCCCCCCGGGGACTCTGTCCATCCCCCTGGGGACTCTGTCCATCCCCTCCTGGGGACTCTGTCCATCCCCTCAGGGGACTCTGTCCCTCCCCTCCTGGGGACTCTGTCCATCCCCTGGGGACACTGTCCATCCCCCAGGGGACTCTGTCCATCCCCCCGGGGACTCTGTCCATCCCCTGGGGACTCTGTCCATCCCCACGGGGACTCTGTCCATCCCCCGGGGACTCTGTCCATCACCCCTGGGGCTCCTGCAGCTGGCAGATGTCACAGTCCCCGCTGTGCCCCTCCGTGGCTGATGCCAGCAGCCAAGTGACACCTGGGGTGGTGCCTCCTCCGAGCCGCAGCCTCCGGGCACCATSCCGAGCCCTACTTGCCCTCGCAGAAGCCGCAGAGGCAGCCGAGGCAGCCATTGACGATCTGCAGCAGGGCCAGCAGCATCTCGGCCACGCTGATGAGCAGCAGCAGKGCGAAGAGGGAGACGTGCCAGGTGACGATGCCCTCGGGCTCCAGGCAGATGCTCCAGGCTCTCTGGTTGTACAGGTAATTCTCAACCCTGTGCGACAGGAAGGGSAGGGGGATCCCATCGATTTCGACCGTGCAGGGTGCCCGACACCCCATCCTTCATCCCGAGGGTGGGCAGGGCCAGGAGGAGGTGATGGAGTTGGAAAGGACCGGGTAGAAATCCGTGGGAGGTGAGAACTTCTTGAGCTGCCAGTCCTGCATCAATCACCACCTGCAAACACCCACCCATGCTACCGCCTTAATTAATCCACTTAATTAGCAATAAATTGATGAGGTCCTCACCTGGCATCGGGGCCCTGGTCGATGGCATCCAGGAAGGGGTAACCCCAGAGGGCCCCGTGGCCCAGGCCGAGCTCGCTGGTGTTGTAGAAGCAGAGGGGACCATTGGTCAAACCCACCCCGGACAGGACGAAGCAGGAGGCAGCGCCCAGGAGCGCCAGCTTGGAGAGCACCACCGAGATGAACGCCTGAGGGGACACCCGGGGGACACACAGAGTCAGGGGGACCCCAAATGGCAGCTGCGGGGTTTGGGATGGGGAAACTCCCCTCCCCAGCTGAGGCTGAGGATGGAGCCGTCACTGGGCAGGGAGGGAAAGGGGCAGGGAGAGGCGGGACCTGCAGAGCCCATCCCGGCACTCACATCAAGCCCTGTCCCCCGGGGCAGGTGGCATCTGCCACGGCCCATCGTGGGCCATTAGAGAGAGGGGACACCCCGGCAGGACCCACCATGGGAGAGGGGACACCCACCACATCCCACCCTGGGACCACGGGAGAGGGGGACACTGTCACAGTCCGGGGGAGACCCTGTCACAGTCCGGGGGGCACGGGAGAGGGGGATCCCCGCCTGTCCCACTCGGGACCGTGGAAGAGAAGGGACACGGGCACATCCCGCCCGCTCTGCYGGCCCCGCTCTGGTTCTGGGGGTCCCTTACGTGGTGGCGGCTGCCGCAGCCGGAGCTCCGCCACCCCAGCGCCGTGACATGGGCGGCCGCCAGCAGCACCTGCGGGGAGGAAAACACTGCTGGGGGACCAAGGGGAGCCAGGCGGCCCTCTCCATCCCTCCGGAGCCGGAGGAAGGGCGCACACCCCCCGGTACTCACGGCGATGCCGCCGCCCCAGACGCCCGGCACGGCTTTGGCGTGGCGGCCGATGCGCCCCTCCCGCAGGTACCGGGATGCTCCGCCGGGGAACAGCAGCAGAATTCCGGCCGCCACCGACAGCGAGCCCAGCACCAGCAGGGACGGCCCCACGATCCGGCTGCACTTCCCCACGCACATGGGAACGTCCTGCACGGGAACGGGGAGAGAAGAGATGGAGAGGAAAGGGCTGCGCTCGGCCCCGCCGTGTCCCAGGGCTGCCCCAGCCAGCCCAGCTCAAACTGGGGAGTTGTTGGGCTGTGCTTTGGGCTCTCAGCCCACCCCCCTGGCTGAGGGGGGCACTGTTCCTACTTGAGGGCAATTTCCAGCAGAAATCCTGATATTTCTTTGCCAWATGGGCAATGGAGTTCCCACACCGAGCCCCGAGTGTGACCACAAGGCTGGCTCTGCCCTGTGTCCCTGCCCATGGCAAGGTGTTGGAACGAGGTCTTTAAGGTCCCCTCCAACCCAAACCAGTCTRAGACTCTGTGAAAATGTTATTGCAGAGAGCCAACCACCCACCATGGCTCAGTTTGGCTTTTGATGTTCACAGTGACCAGGAGGCAGCCAGGAAAGAGGCAAAATCCTTGGACAAGGGATGTGAAAGCACATCAGCCTCCAATCAAATCCAACAGCAACTCCATCCCTGTCTCACACTGATCCTACCATAGGTCTGAGCATGCTGAAACCAATTAAATTTAATTAAGAAAACATTATTACCCATCCTCCAGTTCCATTGGCATCTTACTAAGTTTTGAGTTTACCTAGAAAGCACCTGCCCCTTTCCAGGTGATCCCTGGTCCAAAATTGCCTCTCTTCTGTACCTACAAGACCCTCATTTGCACAGGATGTCCACTGGTCACTCTGGGACTGCTGGAAGCAGCACAGTTTGCTGTTATCCTGGCTCCCAGGTATTTCTACCCTGAGTTCTGTTTGCCCCAAGCTGGCTTTATGCATTTTCCCCTTTCTTGGCAGATTGTGACCCATTTTGCCCGAGTTCCCCAGACTGAGCTGTTTTTCTCACGGATGAGTTTTTCATGTTCACTCCAGCTTTGCAAAGCAGAAGTGGCTGAGGCACCACTCTGCTGTTCCCATGGCTGTTCCCATGGTTGTTCCTGTGGTTGTTTCCGTGGGAAGAGCTGCCTCAGCCCCCTCATGCAGGGCTGTGGGGCCGGGGAGGAGCGGCTGGGGCAGAGTGCCCGACCCCAGCACAGCCCGAGGGGCTGGGGGACAGCAGTTCAGGGGGGCTGCTCAGGACCAGCCACASCAGTCCCAGCAGGACACTGGGGAGGGCTGAGCGTGGGGAACAGGGCTGGGGGACCTGGAGAGGACACGAGCCAAGACACCCAGGGTGGGCCATCAGCTCCACTCATCCTGGAACTCCACCTCTCCTCATTTCCATCCTCTCTGCCTTGGTCATTGGGAATTTAGTGGGGTGCCACATGCAGTCCAGGGATTGTGTGGGGTTGTGTTCCCCCACAGCCACAAGTGTCCAGTGCCCAGCCCAACATCCACACCACCAAGGACCTTCTGGAGCTTCCATGAGCTCACAGCCTGGCCTCTCTCCAGCCAGAGCCTTTCTGCCCCTCCAAGGAYTGTCCTTCCCTCCAGTGCTGCCTCTCCCCAGGGATGGCAGGAGCTCCTCCTTCCCCCAGAAAGCCCCTGTGGTGCTGTCCCCTCAAACCACAGCAGCCCAGGGTGATTCCAGCAAAGCCCAGGGAATTGTCACATGGAGATTCCAGCAAAGCGTAGGGAATTGTCCCATGGAGATTCCAGCAAAGCCCAGGGAACTGTCCCATGGAGATTCCAGCAAAGCCCAGGGAATTGTCCCAGGGAGATGCCAGCAAACCCCAGAGAATTGTCCCAGGATGATTCCAGCAAAGCCCAGGGCATTGTCCTCCCCCCTCCCCAGCTTACCAGAGCGATTCCACTCAGGTCCAGCAGTGTCCACTCCTCGGAAGAGCCCTGTCCTGGAGGTTCCACCCATGGGTCACTATTTATGGTGCCTCAGCCTGTTTTCCCCTCCTCCACCCCCAGGGCCGCCCACCACGTCATCATCATCATCACCATCATCAYCMTSCTCCTGCACCCCTCACACATCYAARGGAAGGATGACTGGCTGGATGAGCCAGCCTCTGCCAACGCCGTGCCTGTGCTCCTTCCCCATTTCAGAATCCACACTGCCAGAGTTCACCAAAACGGGCACAGCTTCACATTTTAAGGTTTCTGCCACCCCTGCACYGAAGGCCTCAAGCAGAGCCTGAGCAATGAACACCGTCCTGGAACAACCTGGGATATCCCAACAAACCTGTGTTGGGGTAACACTTTCCTCTCTYGCTAATGCTGCAATAAAACTTCAGAATAAACATCTCCCTGTGCCAGCTGGCTCCTGCTTCCTGCTCTTTGCTTCCTCACAGATGTCCCAGCTGCTCCTCAGGTGCTGTGTGTATCCCCACTGGTAATCAGATGGAGAGAGTAATGTTATTGCTGGATATCTTCATTACTGTTGGCCATCAGACACGAGCATTTCATATCTGCCACGGCAATGAGGGAACTCCAATTCCTGCAGAGAAGGGCAGAAAGAAACAGAAAATGGGGTTGGAGCCCTTCAAGAACCACGTGGGAAAAGATCAGTGGGTTACAGGAGGTGATTCCATTCCTCCAGCAAAAACAAGCTGAGGAGCAGATTATCCGACAGTTCCTCGGAAAGGAAAATCAGAGTTGGCCCAGGGCAGAAATTCCCATTTTAGTCACAGCACCTCAGAACAGTCTGAGTGGGAAAGRAGCCAGCAGGACCATGGAGCCCAGCTCTTCAGGGAATGGTCCCTGTGGGGATCGAAGCTGTGACCATCATTGGCACCRTTAATTCAGCTGAGTTAATTCAGGSTGTTTCATCCTGAAATGAGACACATCAGTCTCCAAAATGAACACTAAGACAATGCAAGCAGGATGAGCACAATCCAATTCCTCCTTCCTCTTTTTTAACTCGGAAAGGGAACCCGCTCTTCACTCTGCTGGAAGAAAATGTTTTGCAACCTCATCTTATGCCTTTCCYACCCCAGAGCACCCTGAGGTTCCCACCATACACATGACCTGCTCATCTGTCATCCCCCACAGAAAACCCCATGCCAGGAAGTGTGAGGCCTCATCAGGATGACTCTCTTTTTCCTGGGTTCCTGCTCTTCTCCTTATAAAGAGCAAAATGCATTAAAATGCAAGGCTAATTCCAGCYCTGCACGTGAGGGGCTGTGCCTTTCTCACACCAGAGCTCAGCTGCGGAAGCACCGTCTCACCCAAATTTATAGCTCAGATAAACCACCCCATGAAAAGATGGAAGTTGGCAGAAAGGAAAAAAAAAAGTAAATTAAAGCCAAGAGGCATTTTGAGTYTGAGGTACCCCTGTAGCTTCTTGACCTGGAGACTGATGAAAAAAAAGGATTTCTGACTCAGTGGGAACTCGAAGTATTTTCCTAAGGTGCATGAAGAGTTCAGGGTTTTCCAGCTTCAAGGCTGTGGCAGTGGAGACCCACCTGATGCCTAAAACAAAGCTCACCTGAAACAGAGGCCAACGTTAAGAGAATAAAAGCAGACAAATTTAATCCAGGCCTACTGGTTCATTCAGGGCAGAGAAGAGCCTTCTCCTGAGGCTGCATCCAAAATGGACCCCAAAAAGCTCTCTCCTGAGGCTGCACCCAAAAAGTCACGAGATCTTTACCTTTGTAAATTCTCTTATTAACACATTGGGCCTCAATTCCCCAAAATTACACCTTCAGGTGATGATGTCAATCACCCCAAGCTTGCTCCCCCAATTCTCTGTTGTTTACAGATTTTGGGGCTCTGAGGCAGTGAGGTGTCCTTGGATTTCAGGCTCAGAGAGGAATTGTTTTRTCTAAAAATGGGAGAACAGCTTTAGTACTGTATCCTGGAGAAGTACAAGAGTACAGATACTTGAAAATATGGAAGTTAAAAATCCTAAGACATCATTCCTACAGCCAGGAACACGAGGATGACCCCAAACTGATTTCTGTATTTGTTTCTCCACTGCACCTGCCCAGTCCTTGTCCAGAAGAGCCTCTGCTCCTCTGCATTTCATGCAAAGCCACAACAGGAATGTCCCAAGGAGATCAAAAACAACTGCAGAAGGCAGAGGCTCTGCCTTGACAACACCTGCACCAGGACACTGACAGCTCAGAAAAAAAAGCCCCATTTTCCCTGCTCTTTCATTGGGAATGATGGAAAATCCTAGCCTTGCCTCTTTTTATTAGTTTTCATATTGATATTTTTCCTGTAAGTTTGTCTCACTTCAAGATTTTGTATCCTCTAGAACAGCCTGAAGCTTCATGTAAAACAAGCAGTGCTGGCATCAACAGTTCCTTATCCTTCCACCCCAGTATCCTTAAAAAAAAAAAACTCAGAAACTCTCCATACAACACAGGGACAGACTTTCATTGAAACTACCCCATCAAATAAACCCCAACCCCCAAAAAACAAAGAGCTGAAGAAAGCTATTGAAAACAGTTTGTTTTATTTCCAGGATCAAATATTACAATAGGACATTTACATATATTTATAAAAAATGCAGCAGTTGTGTATATAGATCAGAGGTTTCCTTGAGTTTGGTCCCTCCCAGCACAGTGAGCTGAAAACTTCCACATTAATCCTCTCCCTCCTCCCACTTGAAGTTGCCATTATTGAAGTGACCATTGTAAAAAGCTCAGAAACTGGATGTTCCCCAGTTCCAGGAAACAGCCTCATTTTTAAAAAAATCATCTGTCCTGGAGTCTGGTGTCTCTGAGCTGAGTTTTACCCCGATGTTCTTCRCATAAATCTGGTCTATAAAATAGCACCTCACCCCCTGCTCCACACACAGTTTGACTTCCACACCTTTCCTCAGTTACAAAGTGACCTTTCTCTGTTCTGCAGACACAATCCCRAATTTCTGCCCTCACTCACCCATGGAACATGAGGGATAACCCGGGCCAGGCTGAGGCAGAGCTGTCAAGTGCCACAGAGTCCACCTACACCCTGTGTGTGTAAATACATATGGCTCTATTTTTGGGAGTGCACAGACACCAAGCATCTCACAGAAAGGAGAAATAAAAGGAATAAAAGTCACCACAGAAAGGGCATCCATTAACCTTGCCAGCCCCAAATCCAACCAGGCCTGTGGATATTTCCAACAAGCATCACTTTGCCTTCTCTTTGAAACAGGAACTGTTCCATTGATAGAGAATCATTTGTAAAAATAAATAAATAGAAAGGGTAAGGGAGAGCAGAGGCTGGGTCTATGGGAACAGCAAGGCAAGGCACAGCCAGTCCTTAGGGGACAGTGACTTTGCATCCATCCACCTAAAGCACATCTCTGCCATCCCCTCTCCTCCTGGAACACTGGAGTTTTACCAACTCAACTAAACATGGATTAAACCAGAACAAAGCAGTGACATTTAGCACAAACTAAAAAGGAATAAAAATGAAGTGATAAGGCCCTGAAGTGACATCTTCCCACTCACAGACATTCCTACACAGGTCTCTATGCTCATAATTAACTTCTATGTGGTTTACCAAAAACCACCACAACCACATTTCACCCATCTCTGCAGTGTTTGCCACCTGACAAACACAGCCCTGCTGTCCTGCCCCCCAAAGAAAACTGGTTTAGTTTAGCCCTTGKTGCTCGAGTCTCTGTGCATAAGCTCAGCACCCCGACAGGAATTTGACACTGAGTTMCTGAAACTGCACCAAGCCCAGCTCCTGCACAGGTACAAACCCCAGCAGCAGCCCCAGGGGAGGCTGAGGGTACAAACCAGATCTGAAGGATCTTGTGAAACACAGGCAGGGCAAAGGAGAGGTGTCACCTACCCCTAAGAGCGAGGAGCAGGTCAGGGAGCTCTGGCAAGAGCTGATGGAAAATTCCTTTTTAGATCTACAATGGTGCCTCTGGATGCCTTTCACAGACAACTGTGTTTTACAAGGCTACCTGCACACACTGGACATTCCTCTGCTATCAGTGGTGTTAACTGAGCTGTTTTATCAAGGAAAAGATCACACTGCAGTCCATCAATGTCAGAAACTGTAAAAGTCACAGACCTTAGTTCAAAGCCTAAAGAAAACAACACAAGTATGGCCAGAGATGTTTGGCCCAGCCTTTCCCTGYCCTTTTTAGGGCAGCAGGGAATGCTGTGAGGTTGAAGCTGGTCAATCAGCTTGACTTCAGAGCATCAGAAAGATCCAAAATCCTCCTGTGGGCCTCTGGAGTGGGAAGTAAATGTGTCAGCAGCACCTGGCAGGGAAAGCCAGCRCCTGTTTTACCTTCTGTTGTGGAATCCGGTTGTGACTGGGACTATTGGACATTAAATCCCAAAACAAAGCTGGGTTAGATGAGAAGCACAGGCAAAGGGATCATCTCCAGGAGCAGCAAGGAGCTCCAGCTTCAAACACAACAGCCCTGACACAGMAAAACCTCCACTGCTGCTCCTCTGACCCCAGCAGTGCTTTCAACAACACATGCAAATCCTGACCCAGTGACACCCTCAGGAAGCCACAAACCACAGCCTTTGAAGGATTTGTTTCCTTTGTCTTTCATAGTCCAACATCTTATTTCGCAATCCAATTGAACACATTTTTTCCAGCCAAGGCAATYTGAGCTTCAGATTTCACATCTAGAAGTGACTGTTTAAAGGCTCTTTGAACAGTGCCCAAACAGCCATCACCTTGTTTGGGCTGGGAAGATGAGAGAGAAAATGAAGAAAAAGCCACGTGCAGGGATACATATTCCTTAAAAATTCTTTTCTCTGTCTCTTGCTCTTCTCAAAGCAAAGCAAAAGACAAGTGATAGAAAAAAACAGAGTGACACAGAAACAAAAAAAAAATCCAACCCAGGATTAGAGTTTCCTGGAACAGAACAAACTACTAGAACCATGAGAAAATGCCATTTTCAATATAAGTGTTCAACTTCCCATTCTTCTTACTCTGTTTTGAGAGATTCCTGGTCTCACCACAGAGCTCAGCCCAGCCCCACGTACAGGGGGAAGGGGAGGGAAGCTGCCAATAAACCACAACTGGAACTTGTTATGCCAAGCAGAGAGCTGGAGCTGCTTTGGGAAGCTTCAGGTCTACATGGAAGCACGAGTTAGGATATCCAGGATAGTTCCTGGATACCCAGGAACTGAAGGATCCACTGCTGCTTTACAGGGTAAACACAAGACTCCCCTCACTTTCCCATGCAGGGAGCAGCCTCCACTCCAAGGTGTCTCTACAAACCAAAAATGCCATCTGGTGTCACATAAATCACTGATCAGGAAACTGAGATCAGAKTCTGCTTTCCTGACACTACATCCTGCAGCAGAAAGGGAAATTAATTTATACAAGTGCATGATTACAAGTCAAACCTCAATTATGAGCAGGAGACAGCTGTGAGCCRAAGTTTTCATGGAGAACACAGACATTTTCTGTGATTTCTTGCATTTAAAGGTTCCAAAGTATGGAGGCTAGTATGAAATCAAAGGTAAAATATCTTGAAAATTTGGAATATAGTAAATTTGTGACTACTAAAGTCTTTAACAAGAACAATCATCTGAGAGAGGCAGAAAAATCAGCGATTATGGCAGGTCCAATGTGCCTTTCTCCTCAGTGACTAAACAGAACATTAAACTGAGATTTTAGCTGTAAATACACAAATCCACCATACCTTTCTGAGGGCTGGACTAGTTAACTCCTGTCCCACTGGAACAGCTGCTGAAACACCAAGTGACCAACAGCTCCACGTCTGGAGAAGACATTGGAGGAGAAACAGGGCACTGACTTGTGGTGCCAGCCCCAGAGCTGGAAGGAAAGCCCAAACCAAGCAACCCTCTGAAGAGGGAAGTAACAGTAGATGAACCTGGAAATTGAATAAAACTTATCCCAGGGAGCTGAAGGCAACAGGCTGGGAAGTGCTCTATGAAGCATTAATTGATGCTCAAARCAGTCAGTGCTCTAAAAGCCCTGCAGAGCCACTCACTCCTGGGAAAACCAACCTCTGTGCMAAGGAAAAAGGCCAAGTGCCTATCAAGGCTCTGTGGCAGGCATTTCCAGAGAACCCMAAACCTTTACAGTACCCTTGTCATTTGCAAAATCCTGAGAGCAAGTAAGGAGACACTTTGAGGATGCTGGGAAAAGAACATGGAAAAGCCACCCACTCCCATGAAGGGCTGGTTCTGCTSCAGCACTGAACTCCCAGCTTTCCCTCTGGGCCAAGCAGTCAATCCCATATGGGGCAAAGCTGGCTTTTTTGGGATTGTTTTTTTTTTTTGCTGTGTCCACTGGCAATTTAAAGCAGGAGGAAAACATGCAGGCAATCTAGAAGCCTTTGAGTTAGGTGGGCCACAGTATTTTATCACACTCAACCCCAATCCTTTCCAAAACCAGAGTGGTGGATAAGAGAAGGCTGGAAGGTTAATGGAGAATCCTTTACTGCAGGGAATCCAAACAAAGGAAAGACTGTCCTGAAGGTTATGCTCTCTCCTTACAGAGAGATGCCTCAGTGCCTTATCACACCCTCTTTTCAAAAATAAATAAAACAGATTTAAGAATAGCAGCGAGAAGGGTTCGTGTATTATGGCCACTCCAAGCTCCAGCATGCTGGATACACAGATCACTGTTTTACTTTATTCCAGGAAAGCAGAGGAAAGATGCTCTTCCCAATGCTCTCTGCAGCTGAGGAAGAAAATAAAACTCTGAACACTCTYATTTGGTCACTAGAGTGGGAGGAGGGAGGGACAGAGAGGAGGAGGGAGAAGGGCCAGCCAGCTGCCTGATTCCAGCACTGCAATCCCATGACCCTTAACTGCATATTTAACGGCTCGTTGTCCCAGGCAAAGGGGAGAGGGAGGAAGGCTGGGAGAGCTCAGGCCACAGTGCTAATTCCTTTCCTGCACAAAGACAGTCTCTTGAGGACACAGGCCTGCCTCCTGTAACGTGATCTCATAGTCCAGGTGGGAGAGTTTCCTCCGAGGAAAGTTGGTGAGCAGTTCGAAGCGTTCGTTGGGGTATCCTTTGGACTGSACGTGTTTCACCAGAGCCTGGAGAAAAAGAGAAGCAAACAAGTGTCACAAAAATTAGAATGTAAAAAAAACCCATTCTTCTTTAAAAAGGAAGTTTGTCATCATGGACAAAGAAAATTTAATTTTACTCTTTTTTTTACCTCTTTTACTTTATCATCTCATTTGACCCACACATGGTGTGACTAATCACAAAAAATAATTACCAGTGATCCCTTACCCAATTCTTTAAACACAAGGTAAACCATATATAAAACTATACATGATAGTACATAAATACAAGAGAGCTGAATTGCACATCACACATTCACAGCAAACAGAATCTGAAAAAAAGGCCTTAAATGCYCCAAAGTAGAAGCCCCCTCATTTGTTTATCAGGTATTGTCCTTGCTCTAAAGCTAAAAGCCACCAAAGAAGCATTTTTTGAGGTAGAAGCCCCAACCTCCTCCTTCACCTGCACTGGTCTCCAAAGGCTTTGCAGGTTACAGTGCCTGTGTCTGATGGGGAATGCAAGGAATGGGATGATTTCCTTTTCAGGCAGCAAAGATGATCAAAATTCCTTTACAAACCACTGAATTTAAATATGGCCATATCCCTCCCTGTCCCTTCAGAGGCCAGTCTTTCCTGCACACCTGAAACACTTGGCAAACCAAAGGTATTCGGGATATGGAGGAAGGGCTGAGCTGCTGAACAAAGTCCCCTTAACTTGCACACAATGAACAACTGCTTCTATAAAAAGGTGGTGTTGCTTTTTTTTGCTTTTTTTCACTTTTTTTTTTTGTTTGTTTTTCATGTTTTGGTGGTTTAGGTTGGGGTTTTTTTTTTGTTTTTTCTTTTTTGCCTAAGGGGGAAAAGAAAAGATCATCATGTAATGACGATCATCAGGTAATATTGGAAGCATAAGCACCTCTTGGAAATAATGTGTGTAAAAAAGCTGGTGTTTCATCAATAACAACACAACAACTAAAAATAAAACATTTTTAAATCCAGAGGTGGGAAGTATCACTTAAAATCCCTGAAGTGAAACTGCCTCCTTAAGCAATTTCTTTTGCTAGTTCTGGCCAGCTTTAAAATGGAAGGAAATCAAGGGCTAAAAAAAAAGTCAGTATGGAAATGATGCTCACAAAGAGACACCTGAGACTCAGCCTGAACCTGACTAAAAGCTCCAGAAGATCACATGAGATGAGCACAAACACTGCCTGTTCAGCTCTGCAAGCAAAAGATGTTTTTACCCACAAGCTTTGACTCAGCTAAATTCCTCTGCTGACTGTAGAGCAGAAGGGGAATCATCRGCTGAGATAAAATTTCCTTTAACTTCCACAGTCCATAAAAGGAACCAAAGTAGAAGTCAGGATTATCAGGGGTATTTCAATGTTACATTTCTGTAATGCATAAATAAAGTACTTAAATATTCAAAAGTGCTACATATTTAATAATACACACAAATTTACTTAACAGGCTGCACTCAAAAAGCAGTCAAGCCTTTTTTTCCTTTTATTTTCAAGCAGAGGAGTCAAGGATGAGAAATGAGCTGAGGATAGTGTACATTCCTAGAGTTGCTGATGAGGCAATAGCCTCATTTTCTGTAAGAGATAGGATACTTTTCTCCCAAATCAATGCAAAATCCTTCTGATGAGGTATGCTTTGGCCTTCCCCATAACTGCAGCTTTTAGATTGATTACATTGAAATGAGCTTAACTGGCTACAGTGTCCTGAAAACTCGTGGAAACAGGAACACAGTGACCTCTACACTCTGTTTCTGCAAAATTTTGATGGAAATGCCATCCACATGGACTWCTCAAAGGTAAATGAGCCCAAAGCACAACTGAGATGCACACCTGAAGCACAGTAATTAAACAATATTGTAATACATTTGTTTAGGGAGGACTTCCTCCAAAGTCTGCTCGGACATCCACGTTCAAAAGGGGGGATGGAATTACGATGGGAGAGATGGAGAATGAGAATGGAGAGTTTTAATTTTACCATGGGAACCAACTAAACCTTTAGAAACAGAAATGAGAAAGCTGAGAGAGGTAATTAATGATTAATGCAGAAGCTATTTTGAGACATTTAGAATGGAAATGAGCAGTGTGGGAATTAAGGAAGGCACTGGAGTGTACAGAGCACCCAAGCAGCAATAGAGACAGAGCCAGCAGTTTTCAAAGAGGAATGACAGTGCAARCCCTCCCTGGATACCTTTCTCCCACTAGATTTGATCTCAACAGTGTCATCCCAGGGACAGAAACTCTCCAGTTTCAGCTTTCCTGTACTCAGACAAGGATTCCCATTGACTCCACTCACCAGAAGTTTAGCTTGTTCAGGCAGTGAAACTTGTTCCCTCTTTCCATCTGGATACCGTAGCATCAGCTGTGCCTTTGGTCCTACACAAAAGAAGTTACTACAAGTTAACAACAGCTCTGAGTCGAGCTCCTGTGCAGATTTTAGGGGGCACAGTACGGCAGTAGAGGGACTGGAGACACACATAGGGTTCCAGTCTGTGGAGATAAATTTGTACCACGATGCTCAAAATACACACATCAGAGCCAGKACTCTTCCAAAGCAGCAGTGACTGGCACCAGCCAGAGTGCCCAGAGAACCAGAGTGGGTAACTCTGGGAAAGAAAAGAGCTCAGGGACCAGGAGGGCTCTGCAGGCTGGGACACGGCTGTGCCAAGTGGTGCTGCTGGTGAATCACTCCCATGTCTGCTGGCAAGGAGCTATAAATAAGAAGGGATTTTTAAAACAAGGGAYGAAACCAGGCTTGGCAGCCTATAAAAAGTTTTGGGCAAAAAAGCCACAACAAAAGCCACAGAAAGTGGGCACTTACCATTCACGTCGAGGCCCCGGAAGGTGCTCTCAGGCTTGTCAGGTGACTCCTCCAGTGCCCCTGAATCGAGGCAGGGCAGGACTCTGTGGTTTGATGCTGTCCCAGGCTCAGTCCTTGCCGAGGGCTCAGGCTGAGGCCTCCGGCTCTCCTCTTTTTTAAACCCCAAGTCCTTGTGTGGAGATTTCCTCAGCTTGGCTGGAATCTCCGATTCCTCCTCCTCCTCRGATCCACAAACTGAAATGAACTCTTCGCTTCCAGAGAAAAGCTCTGACTCTGACTCCTCATCTGAGCGGCTCTCCTGCTTGGCCTGAGAGGAATCAAAATGTGTCTCCTGSAGCGAGGCCCTGATGGCAGCTTCCAGCTGGCTGTCCTCACTGGCATCGATGAGACTCTCCTGAGGGATGCAACAACACACACACATCACAACTGCCTTCAAATACGTACTGAGAACCAAAAGGATGTCAGTCTTGCAGGAGGAAAGGCACTAAACCCRTCAGGAGCACACAGCAGGGAAAGCTAGGCCTGCTGTGATTACTGAATGGCTTCTCCTTGGATGGGGGAATCCATTTTCCTATCACACCACAACTGCTAAACCCAAACCCAGTGCCCAAAGAACAAACTGCACAACAGAACAGTGATTCTGGGAGAAGGCATTCCCTGGCAGGCTGTATTTCTTGCACTAACTGCAAGTGTGTGTGGGGAATCAGCAGAGCTGAACAAGCACAGGTCAGGGTTTTCCTCCCTCCCCAACAGCCTCATACTCACAGAACGAGAGCATTTTTGGGGAGGGCTGGTGGAATGGCCGTCCAGCTGGCCGTGCTCACTCAGGAACCCGGTCACTTGGTCCAAGAAAGAAGTCACATCTAACTGGTGCCACTCCACGAGCTTCTGGCCTAGGGAACAGAAGGTGGCATGAATTCCAGCAAAAATTTCAGCAGAACATTGCAGTACAGTGGTCAAACTCACTGCTGCAAGAGTCCTTAATTGTGGAACTGCAGCTGCCCACAGGCTACCACCTGATCRTTATGGAGCTTCCTCCTTCCACACCCTTGAAAAGGGACAGACATAGATACAGACTCAGATGATTTCCATTCTTTTCTTTTTATCTATGGTAACGTGAGCACAGAATGGTGAATTTGGCTTCAAAACACCAAACCATTCAGTTTACAAAGAAGCATTTCTCCATTTTTGTTAAAAACTGATTCTAACCTTTGGCAAACAGCATTTGTTCCCAGAAGTGCTAAGAAGAGCATCCTAACTTCAGCTGCAACATTAAAAAAATGTATGTATTTTTGAGTGGCTTAAGTCAGCTACAAAGAAATCTCAGCTCTGATCACAGACACTATCACTTCAGTCCTTAGAAGCAGGAGACCAGATCAGCATTATATAACCAGACAGCTGCATTGTATAATGATAAAAGAAGCTGCTGGATACAAAAGGAAAAGCAACAACTTTGAAAGAGCTGGGGGAGAGGGAGAAGTTTGATTCTTCATGTAAAAAACAACCACAGAAAACAAAAACTCRAAGCCAAAATGTATTTGAAAATTAAAATGCAATTTAAAAAGTCATCACTGAGCCTCACAAAGCTCTGTGGGAGGAGCAGAGAGCAGATTCATGTAGTGCTTACAAATACTGAARTTATTCATCACATTTCAAGAAGCTTTTAAAAGACTTAAAAAAAAGAATTCAGAATTTTTCCACCAGGTGGAACTATTTTCACTTTCTAAGCAAAATACTCACTAAGCTACAAATACACAAAATCTCTGTGAGTTTTGGGTGGTTCATCCCTTATTTCCTCTGGGAGCATACTGAGTCAGTCCTTCAGGGATTTGAAGGACTTTAAGAGGTTCTTCAGCCAAATGTCACCTCCCAAACTGTAGTGGGAGGTATTCCAGCTGCCAGTCCTTCCCATGGGATAACTCCAGGTAACCAGTGTCTTACCTGTCCTGGGATCCAGGATGGAGACATAGGGGAAGTCTGCTAATTTATAGAACTGTATGTACCGCTGTCCTTCCTCGCTGTCGTGGTACACCTATGAAATTGGGCACATTAGTGACTGGGGAGGGAACACAAACAAACTGCACCTCAAAAATGCACAGAGCTTTTCTCTGTTCTACAGTATAAACTAGAAATAGTTTATACACACAGTTCTCAGTAACTCTGACAAGCTGAAAATAAGCCTCCAGCTCTCCATGTATTAGACGCCATGTAATCATTTTGATTGCACAAGTGGAAGGCAGTTTGTGCCTTCAAGTGCATATCCATGAATTACATCTATACCCATAAACCACATACACTCCATGAAATACATCTTTTCTGCAAGCTGGCCAAGAAAATTCCATCTTATTCAGTGATTTTTTTTTTTGCTTGGCCCATCTACCAAGGGGCCAAGTTACCCACACATCCATCCCCAGGCAATTTCTCACCTGCCAAAAAATGAAATGGTCCCGGATGATGTTCTTCACAGCCTCGTTGCTCCAGACGTCACGGTTGAGGCACTGGCAGGCAAAATCTTGCACGTTCTGGATGTTGATCATGAGCCACTTGYTCTGCATCTGACCACACTCCTTGGCCTGGAAGCAGAGGGAAAAGCTGGGTTAGGGGRATCAGGGGAATCAGGCTGAAGGGACAGACACCACTGATGCCAGCAATGACCAGAGATGGCTTCTACCACCGCCAGACTTTCCACCAAACCCCTTCGCAGTGAGGATGGACAGAGCCAGTGAAAAGACACCCACAAAACAGAAGGCAGGGCTGAAGGATCTGCTTTAAATGAGCCTGGTTGGATTACAGAATCACTCTGATRAACGGAGCTGCTGGATTTCAACAAGCCAAGCGCAGGGTGGGAAAAGCAACTCAGAGTGGGGACACACATGGCGATGCTGAATMAAGTATTTATTCAGGGAAAAGTGTAGTCAGTCTCACTGATCTGACAACAAAGACCTGCTCAGTCTAAAGATAAACCCATGGATCATCTACTGAAGTAGGTTGCATAATTGACAGAGGACTTGCATTGATTCAACAGCACCCCTTCTCTGCACGTTTTCTTTTTCTCTCCAAGTTTCCAGTTACTCTGTGACTGTCCAACTGCYGAATTAGGCATCCTTTTTTGGATGCTCCTTATCGAGACTGCAAGTGGGGAGGGAGACAGGAAGGTGCAGGAAGAAATCTTACTGGTTTGAGTCACAAAGCTGGCACTGTCTGATTGCYTGGTTGCAAGTTAATGGTAGGAGTTTGATCAAGAATGTAATTCTGATCGCTGAACTGTCATACCTGTTGAAAAAAAGAGGGCTAGATCAACAGCAGGAATGCTCTCACCACCTGGAAAGACTGGAACTRGCATAGGAACTTCCTTTGCTTTAAAAAAAAAAAAATCAAAAGTTATGCTCACCATCCTGCTGGTAATCTACTGTTTAGGAATTCAAAGGACAAAAAMATCAGGGGAACCAGGATGCTATGCAAGATTTTGCTGTTTGGGCACTACTTTGTTCCCCAAACCAAAGTTTTTACTTTTGGAATGAATTTTAGCCAGTGCAGTTTGGAACTGTGTGGCACTGGTCACAGCGTGACAGACAGACATGTGAACCCCACACACTCAGCTTCACCAAGGCAAGAATCTCAGCCTGCAAAGTCAGTCTGTGTGGCCAAGTGCCCTGCAGAGGCAGCTTTTGTTTTATTCAAAAGGAAAAAAATGAAGGTAGAAGCATGGAATAGTCCCATTCTCACAAGGGGCCTCACACTGACTACTTACCACTAATTTACACTGCCAGAACCCAGCCTTTGGTCACCAGGTGAGAAAAGTGGGGCAGGTGACACCTAAGGAACTGGCAAGGCTCTTTAAATATAGTTGTCATGCTTTTATTTAAAGGACTTCTTTTGAGCTGTGTGTTTGGAGAAGTAATTCTAGGAAATCAATTTAAGTCGACACCTCGAGGCACTGCCCAAGTGTAAAGGGAGCAAAAAGCCTTATGTTATTTCAATCAATTGGATTGCCTTAGTCCTGTATTCTAATGTAGTTATTTGTTAAAAGAACACTCCAAAAATGTAATTAGAAAGCTGGAAAGTGCATCTTCTACACTCACTCTTTCAATATTAATGAAAACCTCGGGCTCTACCCTGTCCAGCTAAGGGCCTTGGAAGGATGCAAGTAGGAAATTCCACACAGAAAACTTGCAAAATAGARTTTTCACCTGTAGAGCAGGCAGAACTTTTGGAATTACTTTTAACTTCCTTCTAAAAACAAGCTTTGGATTTAACATTCAAAAGGACACRATTAAAGTGCTGCTGTCTCACACACAGAGCTGTGCTCTCCCACAGCTTCAGAGGCTCTTCTGAGGGGGTGGAAGGACAAGAGTGTGAGAAGAAACACTGCTGGTTTGGAGATTATATAGGTGGGTCATTTTGGAAAGCAACAAAACAACAAGGGAAGGCTCAAGAGCTGGTTTGTGTATCCCACAATGGATGGATTTAGATCTGCTGTTTCCAACACCACACTCCCCTCCTCCTCTGAGATAYAAAGGCCAGTGCCAGGCCCTTCCAGAGCCCATGGACAGGGCACGACAGAACAGCCACTCTTTGAGAGCAGAGCCAGCACAGCTCAGATCAATCAGCAAAAATCAAACCAAATCCAATCTGTCCTAAGTCTGCCTTTACCCTTTCGCCCCAGTCGTTTATTTTATCATCACTGCTCAGGGCAGCAAACTAGCGACCTGGGGAAACAGTCTGAGAGACAAGGCTTGGTTTGCTCTCAGTGCTGGATCTCCCTGTGCAACTCTGGCTCTTACACTACTAAAAATAAGTTTTCCTCTCATTTGACTTCTCTGAACATGTATGGTTTAAAAATGCTGGGGTGGTTCCTGCTGGCTCAGTTTTGTTGAAATGCAATCCTTTCAAGTCAGCAGAGAGAAGAAGGAAGTGGAGCCAGCACCTTGTGACCCTCCGGACATGTGTGTGACTCAGTGTGGAAGATAACAGCTGACAGAGAGTCAGAGCAGGGCATTATCAAACAAAAAATCTCCTGTTTGGGCCACACTCCTCCTTCCTACCTGCACCAGGGCACAGATCCTTCCAGCCACTCCTGAGCCACAGCTGTACCTGCAGCTGTGCTGACCCAAACCAGGTTAGAGACACCTTATGCACAGGTAATTTCTCCATTTGAAYACAGTGGCCAGATCAGCTTCCAAATTATTGCTACTTGTTAAGTAGAAACAATAAAAAAAATCAGTGTCAGGGGTAAACCAGGGAGCAGCTAGAAAAGATTATTGATAAATGGGGAAAAAATGATATAGAAAGACTTGAAACTCTGCAACATGACATTCAGTCACTTCATTGAAACCCTGCTGAGTGTTAAGCACAGAACTGCACACATCAGAACTATCTCCTCCTCCACCAAGAAATGCAAACTAAGTCAATTTGGTGTGTACCCCCCAAATTAAACCATCTCTCACATCACAGGCATGAAGAGAGAACAMCTGCAATCCTTGAAAGCAGTCTGAGATGAGAACGAAACCACGCTGCTCTCTATCAGACATGTTTGGTGTGCAATTTATTTATTCTTCTTGAGTGATTTATCCTAACAGATTCCACATTTAGGAGAGAACGGCAGTTAAGGTTTCCTGGGGAAAACTAAAGATAATTAAATATACTTTAACAACCTTAAAGTGCCCAAAGAGTAGCAACAGCTGATGAGCAATAAAGATACACAAGACCAATGTCAGCACTTTTGCCAATGAAGCCCTAAATCCTAAATGATCCTCTGATAAATCTACATGGCCCCATTTATCAGATCCTCTGATAAATCTACCTGGCAGAGGGTTTCTCCACACCTCTCCAGAGGCTGGAATACACCACACATCAACCTTGGAAAGAAAACCCCACTTAGATCAAAACTTAATTACAAGAGCATCATGATGACAGTATTTAGTCTTTGATACTCTGGAATGTGATGAGCATCTCTGATTTATCATATGGTTTATATACATTTATCTCAGCATACAGAGAAGGGAGAAGCCAACAGCAGCTTGTTAGAGATGAATTTTGAGAGACTGTGGTCACTGAGGCCTGACACTGGCCCWGGCTGAAGCAGTAGAGCAGTTTGTAGTCAGAAAAGGTAAAATGCAAGGGAAAATAATCAACACATTAAAAAAGTGGAGTTATATTGCAATGAAGTTGAGSAGCATCAGTGTGGAATGAAGGGTATCCCAGGGGATAAGGAACTGTACAAGAACACGGCAAGGTGAGTATACACAAACCCCTTCCCCACCGCCAGCCCACCCCCCTTTTATTTATTTTTTAAATTTTCAAGACTAAGAATGCAGAGACTTCAGGACAAACAAATCCATCAGTTATTTCACTCTCTGACACTGCTTCTGACTGTGAAAGATGCCATAACCCACACGTTTGCAGCAAGACCCAAGGAAAGACAAGCACCCATCTCAAATTCCATTCGCTGACTGTTCCTGGAGCAGCACTGGCTGTTGCCATGTAAATTCCCCTCACTGGTGCCTTTCACCACATTTAATGGCTTCACCAGCAGCTCTGAACCCCAGGCCCAGCAGGTACCATCAGCTGGAAGACCCAACACATCTCGTTTGAAGCAAACCCTGCACCAGAGATCACCAGGCAGGAACACCTGAGAATCAACTGCTTCAGGCTGCTCCTCTGCTGCCACTGCACCACATTGCTTCCCGAGGTGGACACTGCTGTCCTCTGCCAGCATCCCTTCACGTGTGGAATTTTGTTAGGAGATCCTGGGGGGGCACCCTCAGATCACAGGAATTAGGGACAAGGCAAGTGATCCCCAGTGATTTGGGAAGCATAAAAAGAGAAATGAGGGTAACAGGGTGAGAGCTGGAGACTCCATAAAGGCACACTGTGTTTCACCAAAAGCTCTCCAGCAGTGTTCTAGTATTTGTGCACAGAAAACAAGGTAAATAATACTTTTGTTCAGTCCGTGCAGTGAGCTCTCCACCATCTGTGCTGCACCATTTAATAATTATTTTGCATTCTCACACAGTAACAATAATGATCATCACCATCATCAATCTCTTCTATTCAAAGATGACCAGGAGAAAGCTCAGTAGTAACTGCARCTTATGAATATCTTGAAATTATGGACTCAAAAATTGAAAATACACAACAATCTGCATGTTCTCTAATCATTAATTAAGTCACTGATCCACATTGTYACAATTTAGGAATAGATCCACACATGCCGACCCAGTCAGGGAAGGTGACACCTGAGATGATTTAAAGCTGACAGCATCCTGTATCTCTGGGTTGCTTTTCCCAGCACTACCAGAAGCGACAACCACTGTGATTTTACACAAGAGCAAGATCTCCACTGATGATGAACTTGTGGCTTGATGGCAAAGCTGCATTCAAACACTTTTACTCACTCAGGTAGCAGAATCCACTCAGCCACATTAACTCCACCTGAGCTCCTCAGCAGGGCTGTGCTGCAAACCACACTGCTCCTTGCAAAGCTCTCCCTTACCTGCCCAAACCAATCTTACTCCAGCTATTTCTGTACCCGCTGTGGAGGAACTTCAAGGGATGCCATTTTCCCATTCTGACCAGCTCAGTGAAGTCTTTTATCAAGTGTGTTTTGCCACACTGAAACATAAAACAATGTGCTCTGCATTGTCAGGAGCTGGATTCAATGATCCTTGTGGGTCCCATCCTTCAATATGTCACCAACATTTCACACACAGTCCATCAAATATTGATCACTGCTCAGTCTTTTGCCACCTTCTGACTGTCCAGCCATGGATCCATGCTGCCAGCCTYTCCAGCCACCCCAAATGTGAGTCCTCACCGTTTCAAAGCTGCCTTTGTGCATCAGGTCAATGGGAGGCCTGAAGAGRTCTGCCAGCGTCGTGAGCTTCTTGTCCACCGCCCCTCCATTGCGGAGCTCCTGCTCCTGCCGGACTGCACAGCCCCAAGAGGAAAGGGAGAGCAATTAGACAAAACATACTCACCAGCAGGATTTATTATTGGCTAAATGATCAAACACAAAACTTCTGGGGTGAAATCACCTCCATCTCCTAGGAGGTTTGGGAAGAACAGGGTTAGTGCAGTTAGTGGGAGGAATAGGACCACAAATCCTAGGATATCTTTTAGGGAGAATCACAGGGTTAGACCCACTAGTGTGTAAAGCAGAACCCCCTTGCCTCAGCTTTCTCATGTGCTTTCACTATTAAACAACATCTTAATAAACCTTAGGGGTCACATATCAGTATTTGAAAACAAAAGATGTGACTTGTCCCCAGTGATGCTTTTAACTGAGCTAGATTGTAGCAATGTACTTATAAAAGGAATAYTTCTAGTGCAGTGTTTCCATTACTTGACTGTGGGACAATTCCATAGAAAAGAAAGAAACAAACAGATTTAGTTTACATGGAGGAACCTCTCTTTGGATTTTTCTTTTGAAGTGTATGATTTCCATCTGAAATAGTACAGAACACATTTCCAACACAGACGTGACCAAGTACAATAAAGGTAAATCACAGCAGATATGTGATGTATTTTATGGAACCAGGTCAGCTGAAATGGGCAAGGTCTCTCCCATGATCAAAAATTTTCCACTGTGGAAGGAGCTGTCAGTGGGCCAAAGTGTAAAACCCACGCTTGAGCAGACACATAGGGAATAARGGATCCCTGTGGAGCAGCCCTAGGAGACACGAGAACATCTGGAATTTCATGGCCAGCACTGCTTTTCCAGAGACAGCCAGGCAGTGATGTCCTACCCATAAAGTTCTGCCCAAAAAGCATGATAAAGTTTCACCATAAACCCTCACAGTGTATCTSTCAGATACACTCTAAATGTCTAAATGCATCTCTAAATGTCTAAAGAGTGGAATCACAGAATGGTCTGGGTTGGAAGAGACCCTAAAGATCATCCAGTTCCAACYCTGCTGTCATGGGCTGGGACCCCTTCTGCTAGATCAGGTTGAAAGARGGTGAGAAAAAATTTCAGGGTATTGATTCTGAAAATGGTGCATTTTCATTGACACAGCTGCCAGTGATTTCAATACTTGCTGAGTTCATCATTACTGAAAAATCCTGACCAAACCTGTCAGGGGAAAGAAAGTAATTATCAACATTTATTATCAGTTTGGCAGCCAGCTCCTAACTATATGGGAACATGATCCATGTACCCCAGTAATCAGTGACAGGATGACAAAATGGCCTCAGGTTGCACCAGGGGAGGCTGGGATTGGATATTAGAGAAAATTTCTTCAAGGAAAGRGTTGTCCAGCCCTGGCACWGCTGCCCAGGGCAGTYGTGGAGTCCCCATCCCTRCAGGGATTGAACACATGTGTGGATGTGACACCTGGGGACAAGGGRCARTRGTGGCCTTGGCAGTGCTGGGGGAATGGTTGGATTTGGTCTCAGAGGACTTTTCCAACCCTACTGATTCTGTAAGGTTCTGTTGCTGGAACACTCCAGCAACATCAGCAGGACAGTCATAACTCAGATGTGCAATACGTGGTGCTGTGTTGTCACAGAATCCATTCTGTGGCACTTRATGGATGAAACATCAGCCAGTGCTTGGGCATCTGCAGATTCTGTGTTTGAACAGCCAAGGGCAAACACAGCACTTAAAGCCATGAGAACYTCACATGTGGCCAAAGAAGAAGCCTCAGGGCTACTCAAATGCAATTCAAGTGCCAGAACATCCATTGCCTAGCCAAGAAATATTCAGTGGATGAATTTAATTTCTCCTTGKGTGTTAAAATTCTTCCCCCTTTTTAGGTCTCTCTACAGCAGAAAAAGGGGGTTTTTTGAGAGTTAGGAAGAAAGTATTTGCCATAAGGAAGCTGACAGAATATACTGTGATAATCACAATTCTATGACTCTGTACTTCTAATAATGTACCCTGCTATACAGCAGCCAATTTAAAAAATGTTTCAACAAATGAAAGCTGTCCTAGCCTACAACAGAAATAATTTTTCCATCTTATTTATATTAAAAGTAATAAAACAGAATATCAGGCTTACTGATCTGTAGACACTTACTGGTTTCTGTCTGAAAATCCCGAAAGCCATCGAATATTGAGCGAGCAGGTCTGCGTCTTTTAGGAGCTTAAAAAAAAATAAAGAATTATTTCAAAAGTTTATTATCAAAATAAACACCCATTAGTACTTTCCATCACACGTGTAGGAAAACAGAACAGGAACCCAAAGCAGGGATGATGTGGGAATAGAAGTCCTTGGGAAGGGCTGGAGATTATAGAAATAGGCAGTAGGCAGTTTGTAAATTCCAGTTCCTAACACATCCTCCCTCCAGCAAACCTTAACCCAGAAACAAAACATTTATCAACAACAGAGAGAGACCCAAAGTCCCCTTCTGATGGGCTCACCAGGGCCCTTCAGCATGTAGTGCCAGTGCTGTCACAGCATCACCTTGCCACAACTCCAGACAAGATTTTACCCGAGGCCTTCAAGGGGATGAAAAGCATCAAAAGATTAAAATATTAAAGAAAATATTTTCTTTATAAAGAACACAACTGTTTTTTCCACAGTGCATTTCTATTTACTATTTCTTATCCTGATCTTGTCCCAACTTCATGACTGGACTGGCAACAGCCACACATTCTTCCATTAGATCCAGTGTCAGCATTTGCAAAGAAACCTTCAGAACTGATTATCTGCATCTGGACAGAGACAGCAGCCCAGAAGGGATCAGAAATACACCCAAGTCCCACTGAAGTCCTAAGGTACAGCACAACCACTGCACTTGGAATACAAACAGAACTGTCTGCCAAGATTATTCCAGCTACTTATCTCCTTTACTGYCAACTGAAAGACAGAACTTTCTAAGCCCAACTGCAACAAGACTTAATAGACAATAAACAAATTAAAGTAAAATGAATACAGTCTATACCCAGGGGAAATGTGATGATAGAAACTACCATGGATAAAGAAAGCAAGCCTGAACAAGGAACATGCTGGGGGAACAACACCTCTCAGCTTCAGGGAATGAGATCTCCTTCACCCTGAGCGCTCAGGCACAAGCAGAACCCTCTAAAGCCAACCTGGGAACAACTTAAACTCAGCTGGAACAGCAACTGAAGGAGCATTTCAATAAAAGCAGCATGTCCCTGCCAGGCTCAGCTCCAGCCTGGCAGCACAMGAGAAGAGGCTCTCAGCAGTCCAGGAGGATCTTTTATGCTGAATGATGGAATCCACGTATCCAGCAGGGCACAAATACACATGGTCACCTCTTCAACTGGAAAAAAAGCCCTGAGCTTATACAACTACCTCAGTATGACCCTTAAAAACAGAAACTGCCACCTCCCCTGCTCTAAGGCTAAAGCTGACACCAATTATCTCTTCAGGTTCAGCTACATTGTCAGGCTGCTCTCTGTCAGGAACACAAGTGCCACTGGTGGATCAGACAGTACCAGGAGGGTGTCACTGATCCAGGTCACCTCAGTGGTGGCCAGTGACAGCATGACCAAGATCAGTGTGTAATAGGTATAAAAAGATCAAGCATTAGGGTCAGCAGATATCAATCCTGATTCTTGAACCCACAGGTGTCAAAAACCGTTGATCTCTGTCAAAAACTGTTTGGCCACAGGAAAAAGTGCAGAGAGCTCAGAGAGGCATCAGCAGGGCATCTTCCTCTGGATGCACATTTACTGCTGCACAACTGCCCTSCTCTGCTACTAAAGCCCCACTTCCAAAACCCAGGTAGGATGGGAAGCACAAGGACTAGATAAACACAGTATGTCTTTGTTTTTGTGTCACTCCATCTTATGGTTGAGACCTTCAAAGCCTAGCATCACTGTTGTTTACAAGGTGGCCTTTCAGCAGGGAGGAGAAGAGTATGAAATTATACCAATGAAGCTCATACAAGTGCACAACAACTTCAGTGAAGGCGACACTCTGTGTCATTCCCTTTTTGCTCAAATGCAAATTAGGTGTGTATTTCAAATTGTTGGCAATTCATGATTTATCTCACATCAGTATGTAGAAGTGAAAGTTAAGTTTGTCCATCTCAGCGATTCATATTCTGCCTAAAGAATAAACAATTTTCTGATGGTGGGACTGGGGACTGAAGCATATTAAAGGAGTCAAAATTTTCCAGCTCCCAAAAGAGACAGAGAAACAAAACTGCTACAAGGATTAAAACTAAAAAAGCTACTATTGCTATCTGAGCAAGTACAGCATAAAAGCAAGTGGTGTGCACCTGTATTGCCTGGCATTGTGTGCTGCCCTCTGATGATGAAAAACAAAATCAAGACAAAAMCAGCTCCGGGGTAAACCTGAAGCTTGGCCTCCCTCTCCTTCCTAACACAGGAACTAAACGATAGAAAAGAGCATTTCCATGGGTGTAAGACCACTGCAGTGATGAGCACTTGCATAGCTTTCCTTGGTGAAAAGGGCAAAGCTCTCAATCCGTTTGACATGGCAAAGGCCAGTTCAGAAATGGCCTGGTCCACATGAGAAGGACAGAGACAAGTAAAGCAGCTGCATGGCACAGCTTAAAGAGCAAATTAAATTCCTACAKGAGAAATGGAGAAGGTTAAGAGCAATGACACAGTTCAGCCCTTCTTCCTGACCTGTCATCTCCTCGAGATGCAGGCATTTGTCCTCTTCATTTTCACTCATCAGCCAAGRCTCCACCTTCCATCCCAGCATCTCRAACATTTCCACAGCAGTACCCCACAGTTCTGGGACCCCAGAACACAGATGTATACTCAATTAAGTTAATTGGATGTCACCTCAGAAAGTCTCATGAAACAAGATTTAGCAAATTAGTACCCCTGGGAATGTAGCATATCTCACRTGTGAGGTTTTTAATACCACTGCTGTGATTTCTCCATATCCAGCAAATTTTGATTTTCTTTTGTCACTTAACTCACCTTAAGGTAAAGAAAACACAAACAAAACAAAAACACAAGCCTACCTCCAAACAAGGGCTCAGGCTCTACTAAGATTTCCTGCTTTTGAGGAATTGGAGCTCGTACTTCATCCCTATAAAAAGGAAAAGAAACAAAAAAGAAAATATCAGAGAGATGATAATATTCCATGTACTGTACAATGCTCCAAGACTCCTGTAACTTGACCCAGCTAAAGGTGCAGCTGTACCACTGCACAGAATGAAGAGGTTTGGGGATAAGTGTGACCTCAAGGGAGCATCTCTTCCCACTCATGGCACTACTGCTGGACCTGGTACCCTACGCACTGAGAGCTACCATGGATGACCTTTGATAGAAGATTATACAAACCCCTGAGTGTCTTTGATCCCAGGCTTTGTCAATCCACTATTTAAACATTTTCTTCTTTACAACTTTGTTAAAATTTGGAAAAGTTTCTAAAAATATAGCAAAAGCTGTTAAATAATCCACTTGACATCCTCCTTGTCTTTGTAGCTACACAGAAAAAAAATTATCTTCCTTATTACCAGCTTTTGCCTGTCAGAAGACTTGTTGCTTCCACCTGAAAGTCATACCTCAGTCTTTTCCAGAGGAAGGAAAACATGTTCAAGATGGACATTTCCCCCCATTTCTGAAGCAATTCTTGGCTTACACTTGTCAACAGCTCAGTCAGTTATGCTTGCAGAGACTTACAGATAATTTGAAACTACAATYAGGAGAAGAAAGTAAATCACAAGGCAACCACAAGCACCACTGTGACAACGGTGTGGTCACCTGGCTCATGCATCTGTGTGGAGAAAGGTTCATCCATTGCTGCATCCTTCTTCCCTCAGACTRTTCCAAGGTGTGAAGTGTGTATTTTGTGGCTCTTGGCCATGCAGGTTTCACAGAGTAACTGGGGATGTCAGCAGGATGCACTAAGCTTGCTTTTAACCTCCACATCTTTGACTGCTCTCTGTAGCTAGTTACTCTCCATTTGCACATTTACTGTTCTCTCCCCCTAGGAGGAACACTAAACTGATTGGCACCTGGAGGGTGTCAAGTATAAAAAAGAAAGTATTCCAAGAAAAATCTTAAACCACTGATGTGCCAGAAGTTGTCTAGAAGTAAGAACAGTAACCTATATACCTATTTTAACTCTGCTACCTGTCAAAGGCTCAAGCAGGAAGGCACCTCACATCAGCTACAAAGGTCAGCACTAAAAGAATTGTTTAAATTTATACATGTGCTTCAGAAGTATGAGGAGCAAGGATTTTCCTCTTCAAGTTAGCTGTCTTTTTCGTGAAGTGGAAGATTTTCATTAGGACAAAAGCCAGGCTTACATTTAATTTGCAATATTTAATGAATGGGATTTATACCACTCAAAATATTCCGTTTATCCCAAGCAGTCATATAAATAGGCAGCATTGAGACTMTCTGCCATGCTTTAGTGGGAATTTTCTTCCCTTTACAAGCATCTGATGTGTAAGAGACCGATGAGGGTGTTGAAGTCACTGATTCCTCTACATACTGGTGTACAAGGTCTGTCCTTTCTGATGCCAAACTGGCTTAAACCACAACAATAAAACCCTCATAAGTTGGACTCTTCTCCCAGGTAACAAGCGACAGGAGACGAAATGTCCTCAATTTGTGCCAGGGAGGTTCAACTCCTCAAGTTGTGCCAGGGAGGTTCATGTTAGATATTATGGCAAATTTCTTCATGGAAAGGACTGTAAAGCACTGACACAGGCTGTCCGGGGCAGTGGTGGAGTCACCATCCCTGGAGGTGTTCAAAAAACATGTGGATGTGGCATTTGAGGACACGGGTCAGTGGTGAGCATGGTGGTGGTGCTGGGTTTATGGCCGGACTTGATGATCTTAGAGGTCTTTTCCAACCTTAACAATTTTATGAATCTATGAAATGGGAGTAAKGTGGCTTCACTTATAAAAACCAAACCAACAGAACTCTCTAATTGCCAAGTTAGTGTAAAATGAGATTGCTGAAGCAATTTAAAAATAAGACTCTCCTATTACTGGATCCCTACTTTAATGACTTGAGCTTTGTTTGTAAAAAACAGTAGGTGAAAGCCACAGAAAACTCCTGAGCTACGTGCAAGAGACTCACTTCTGGTCTACAAACCAGAACCCCCGCAACAATGCCGGAACAATCAATTTAACCAGATCAAAGCAGCGTGCAYTACCATGAGTGAAAAGTGCCAAGTGCCTTATTTGTTGTGCCTTACACTGTGACATTTGTAGGGCAGGCTGGTTTGCACAGCAGTGCTCCCGGGTACGTACTCAGAGTGCGGGCGGACGGCAGACACCGCTGCGGAGCTGGTGCTGGGCTCCTCTGCTATCCCTCCTCCGTCCAGGAACATGGTGACAGCCATCTCCAGGTTGTTGTTGCATGCTTCAAGCATATGCTTCCCCACGCTTTCACTGGCACCTGGAATGCCAAAGGGAAATCACAGCGTTTTCACTGGAAGCRCCCAGAACAGCTTTCTCTCTCAAAGCATTAATAATTAGAAAGAACGGTTCATCAGCTGCCATTTATCCCTRAAGTACAACTGTGAAAGAAGACAAACTGACAGAGCTCAGGGGGAAGGGAATGCCTGCAGTCAGGACAGCCAGGCTTCTTCCTGCCAGCAACAGACAACCTAGTGGAAACCATCTGAGGGGTTTTAGCATGATCTGGATTTTCTTCTAGAGGTCAGACATTTCCTGGTACATGGACCTGTCGGAATGAGTCCAGAGAGACCAAGAAGATGCTGGGAGGGCTGAGGCCCCTCTGCTCTGGAGACAGGTTGGGAGAGCTSGGGGTGCTCACCTGGAGAAAGCTCCAGGGACACTTTAGAGCTGGTTCCAGGGCCTAAAGGGGCTCCAGSAAACCTGGAGGGACTTTGGATAATGGATGGAGTGACAGGACACAGGGAATGGCTGCCCACTGCCAGAGGGCAGRGTTAGATGGGATACTGGGGAGAAATTCTTCYCTCAGAGGGTGGTGAGGGRCTGGAATGGAYTTCCTAGAGAAGCTATGGCTGCTCCATCYCTGGAASTGTCCAAGGACAGAMCTGGAGCAATCTGGGATAGTGGAAGGYRTCCCTCCCCATCACAGGGAGTAGAACAACATGGGCTATAAGGTCCCTTCCAAGCCAAATCATTCCACGATTCTATGAATTTTCCAAACACAAGCAGGCAAACACAAAGAAAAATGAAAACCTGACTTGACATTTTAACAGGAAGAATACGAAATCAGCTGCTCAAGTTTTTTATCCACTTGTAACAGACATTTAGAGATGGAAGAAAAGACTGATTTACTGATTCTGCTGAAAGGCAAAAACAAACCAGCAGAAGTTCAGTTTATATAAGAAGGAAAAAAGAAGCAGCCAAAAGAGGGAAAGYAGTACTTGTCTACAGAGTTCTTTGTATAATGACTAACATTTACTCAAATCACARAATCATGGAATAGTTTGGGTTGGAAGRGAGCTTAAACCTCATCCARTTCCACCTCCTGCCATGRGCAGGGACACCTTCCACTATCCCAAATTGCTCCAGGCCYTSTGTCCAGCCTGGCTTTGGACACCTAAAGTGCAACTAACCCCAGCTTTAATGCTGCAGCTCAGGATGAAGCAACAGTTCCCAATATCCCTTGTAAATCTTTCCTCAGAGGACGAGCCTGTACCTCCCAACTTCTCTAAAACAATCCCATCAGCAGAAGCTCCCCCAGGAAAAGAAGCTCTCCTGCACCCAACTCTTGAAGTATCTACAGCACCTTCTCCATAAGTGGTAGAATGCCAAAGAGCTTATTTTCTTATGGAAAGGCTGGTAGAGAGGAAGAGTGGTAAAATGCAGCTGAACCAGTCTGGGAGCAGCTTTGGGATCTGCAGTAATTCTTCCCAAGTTCACGGCAAGTCACCAAAATGACAAAAATACTTCGTTCAAAACCAGGATCACAGGTAACAGCAGTCTGGGCAAAACATATTTGGATGTTTCTCAGATTTTCTGGGAAAGACTCAAGAAGCCCTGGTTTGTCAAGAGAATACACTGTGAAACTGTGGAGGTCAGGTCTAAATAACCTGCACATCAAACCACGGAGAAAGCCAAACTGACTGAGGSAACTGGTTTCCCAAAACACCCAACCTGCCACAACAAGCATGCTGGGATGGTAGTATTTTCAGACCTTAACTGAGCTGAAGAAAGTGCAAAATAAAAACTAGTGACACCCCAAATAGTTTTTCACTCGAACTATTTTTTGGTGTTTTTAGCTCTTTTCAATGCTGTAACTGTAGCAATGAGACCACACTTCTGAGTCTGGAAAACACACACACCACTCTACACCTCACTGCAGAGTTATGCAAAGACTCGTTCATTTGCAAGAACTGGAAGAAAAATGGTTATTAAGCCCTCTGTTATTATTTAAAGAGACACTGACATAGAAAGTGCCTGCACTGATTCCTCATCATTCCTGAGGAATGTCATCATACGAAAGCTTTCAGTCCTTGTGCTGGAAAACAGAAAATTCTAAATATTTGTTAAGTTTCAAAGCAAATTTCACAGATATCCCATCATTTCCTTGGGGAAGACATGCARCAATTACATCCTCTTAGCAGTACTKTCCTGGAKGAGAGCACCAAAGAAACACAATTCTGCCATCAGGATCAAAGAAAAGTRTCAAGGACTATCTCTCCTCACCCTCATGCTGGCAAGAATTCCCSCAGCCTTTTCCCCACAGACAGGAGTGATTGCATACACCTACAATTCCAAGCTAAAAGCTACTAACACAAAGCACTGAGGTGTGAGCACCTGTCACACCACACCAGCATYGGCCAGACAAGCTCCATGGCAACACATTTCTAGACATGACCTTAAATTCTGTTAAATTGAAAAACAAAACTTCAAAACACCACTTAATAGCGGATGGCTGAAGCCCACTAGGCTGKTTTTTTCCATTTCTGAAAGCACAAAGAGAGGTTCTCTTATGTTGAGCATAAAACACGTGTCTGAACACAAAAAGCTGTCAGGAAGAGGAAACCAGCACAGCTCTGCCTGTTCTCGTTCAGGTTTTAGCAAATATCTCCTACACAGGCACATTTTCACAACTGAAAATGTATTTGCTGTAGGTTCTTTTTGTTCGAAGGGTTTACTCCATAAAGATTCTTTAGGAATAGTTGAGAAATCAGTAATTTCCCTTCTTACACCCCGTTGAGGATTTGAGTGTGTCCAGGTACGGGGACACAATCTGAAACAGAGCTGGTGCGGACGACCGAATGAAAGCAGTTTCACTTCTCTCTGGCAGTTTARTTGATATATCTTATTAAACACTCCCGCAGTATCTGACATGCAAAGCCATCAGCCAGGGGTAACCACGGCGAATCAGATTAAACACAAAGTGGGTCAAGCGCTCCAAGTACACAACCTGAAGCAGGAGCTGTCACCTGACGCGAACTTCCACGGAAAAGCGACCCGCTCTCGCCGTTTGCCAACTCAATTCCCCGCAAGTCGCCAGCGCTACAAGATATTTATGGTTTTTCAAAGGCGGACTCGGGGCTCAGCTCCCGGGTTCCTCCCGGCCGTCAGTGTTATCCGCAGGAACGGGAAGCGGCTCCGGGGCGGCGCGCAGGCGGGAGGGAGGGGAGGAGGCAGGAAGGGAGCGGGACACGCACCCGCGCCACCGGGACAACCGAGAGGACCCTCCGAGCCGCCGCTCAAAGGGAGGCGAGCTCCCGCCGCGCAGGGAGCGGAGCCGGGCCCGGGGCAGCCCCGGGGCGCGCCCGCGGACAGGCCCTGGCACCGCCGGCACCCCGCGGGAGGCGCTCCGGGGTCAGGGGCAGCGCGCCCGGAACCGCTCCGCCTCGGCCGCGCCTGCCGCCCCCGGCCCGCCGGCGGGGGGCGGCCGGGCGGGACCCTCCCGCGAAAGGCCGGCGGCCCCGCCGCGCCCCGCGCCCCGAACCCACCGGTGATGGCGGTGAACTGCTGGACCAGCGCCCTCAGCGCCGCGGCGCCCGCCGAGCCCCCGGGCGCCGCCATCTTGCCGCCGCCGCACCACAACACACGCGCCGCCGGCCGGCGCGCTGCGCATGCGCGGGGCCCGCCCGCGCGCGCCCCTTCCCCCGCCCGCCGGCGCGAGGGGCGGGGGTCTCGGTTGCCGCGGTAACGGGCCCCGCCCCCTTCGGCCGCGCGGGAGGCGGGAGTTGCCGTGGCAACGCCCTCTACCCCGAGTCCCGCCCGCCTCGGCGGCGTTCCCGGGGCATCCCCCGGCATTCCCGACCGCCGCTCCCCACCGGCACGGGCCCGAGCGGCCCCACAGGCCTCCTCAGGACACGGGCTTCCCACCAGGATTTATCCCGTCACAGAGGCCCTCGGCACAGCCAGGGGCCGGACAGGCCGCGGGCCGGCTGCAGAGCAGATCCAAGTGCTGTGACCGGAGAGACAGCCAGGAATAACCCCGATCTCCAGCACAGRCYGGGGGTGACCTGCTGGACAGCAGCGCTGCGGARAAGGACCTGGGCGTCCTGAGAGGCAACCAGCTGTCTTTGAGATGGCGGAGTGTCCTGCGGGCCAGAAGGGCCAGTGGGATCCCCGGGGGCATTGGAAAGAGCATCGCCAGCAGCTCAGGGCGGGTCCTGTCCCTCTGCTCAGCCCTGGGAGGCACATCTGGAATGCCGTGTCCAGCTCTGGGCTCCTCGGGACAGGAGGGACATGGAGCTGCTGGAGCAGGTCCAGTGGAGGCTGTGGAGATGAGGAAGGGCCCTGGAGCATCTCCCGGCCCAGGAAAGTCTGAGGGAGCCGGGGCTGCTCAGTCTCCAGAGTAGCCCCAGCTCAGAGGGGCCCTCAGCCCTGAGTGTCCCTGGGTGTCCCTGGGTGTCCCTAGGTGTCCCTGGGTGTCCCTGGGTGTCCCTGGGTGTCCCCGAGTGTCCCTGGGTGTCCCTGGGTGTCCCTGGGTGCAGGGAGGGCTCCGAGCAAGGCCCAGGCTCTGCTCTGGGGTGGGGGAACCCAGCGATGGCACCCGAGGGATGGGCAGGGACTGAGCCCAGGGATCTCCCCCTGCACAGGAGGCAGAACTTTCCCAGGCCGTGACCGAGCCCTGAACAGAGACCAGAGGGTGTGGAGTCTCCTGACTGGAGATATTCCAGAGCTGTCTGGACACACTCCTGTGCCCTGTGCTCTGGGATGCCCTGCTGGAGCAGGGAGGTGGCACCAGGTGAGCCACTGTGGTCCCTTCCAGCCTCACCCATTCTGTGACCCCTGAGGCAGGACCTGAGGTGGTCAAGGAACAGCTTTGTACCAGTCCAGGGAGCCCTGACAGGGCACCCCTGCCATCACWGTCACCATCAGTTCTTCAAAACCAGAAGAGGAAACCCCTGCATTTTGTCCTTACCCCCCATGCCAGGTGCTTCCCCAGGCCACCTGGAGAAGTGACAGGAATGTTTTAGTTCTTTCCTGTTTCCTGGTACAGCAGGAATGTGTCTGCCTTGCTGCTGAACACCTTGCCAGTAACACTTGCCAACTCTGTGAGTACCATAGAAAGCTGAAGTTTTCCTAGAGTTGTAATAATTTAATACCTCACTGCTATGGAAACAGATACAGCTGTTACCTCTCTTATTCCCTTCCTGCCTCCCCTCTCCACACCAGCTCTGGTGCTCAGGGAAGCAACAAAGCCTGTGAAATATTTGGGGTTTTGGCACTTATTTTGTTTTCCCTGGCAGCAGGATGAGCTGAACTTGTTCACAAACAGAACAAATGATTCACCAGGGCTGAAGGCAGGTGAGCAGCAGTGAACTGTTACACCAGCCCACATATCCCAAATGCAGACTCCTGCTTCACTAACACCACTCAAACAAAGCTGATTTCACCTTCAAAGCTCCCGGACCACAGSGACAGGAACAAGCTGTTGGTACAACCAAAGTCTACTCAGCAGTGGCCAAATTCCACCCTYTAACAATAAAGATCTAAAAGAATAGGCTAAATTATGCCTGGTGAGGATTATTGTGTCATGGATGTGGCRAGCAATAGGATCATTTGGGGAACCTGAGGGTTTGCAGCACCCCACCTCCCACAGGGCTGCTGTTATAGGTCACAGGTTTTGTACATTTTGCAGTTAAGGTTGGCTTTTATCTAGCAATCAATTTTCAGTCCTGCTTTTTTTCCATTCTGCTTAAAAATAATAACAATTCTTATGTAAGAGGCCCTTCTGACACTGAGGGCAATATTCAGTGAGCTGGAAAAACACAAATATCCCCCAAAGCCTTTAACACACCCTCCAGTATACACACACACATGCCAAAAAACACTTGAGAGCTATCTAGACCTTTGAAATGGCATATTTTGTCTATTTTGTTACAATTTTCAATGGAATCACAGAAGCAGGATTTGCCATTGCGGGTGAGGAAGTCTGCAAACACCCCCCTTGCTGAACCTCAGTGCATGTCTCAAGCCTCATATAAAAGAGAGACAAAGTCACACGCTAAAAGGGAAAAGAATCCATGGAACAGCTCATGGAGGAAAAGGGAATRAGGCTGGTGTGAAATACAGCAATTCACGTACTGGGATGTGATTTCATGTCACTTGCACAAGGTGCAGTTCTGCCAGAAACTGTCCCTTCTCCCTCACCCTCTTCCCCCYTGATGCTTCACCTACTCCTTTAACATCCAGAATTAATTATGGCGAGTCTCCAGGTAGCAAAGCKGGTAGTCAGGCATAGACTTAAAGAGTTTTGGTAGCAAATAAACACTTTCTCTTCATCTACTTTAAAAAAGGAGTTTGTTTTTTACAGGCTTAACCTGACTGAGGGTCACCAGCATGGAAATAGTCAGTGGCCTTAAAAAAAACTTTAATGAATGATGTTTTTGACATAATGGGTAAGACAGAAAATAATCCCAACTACAGTAAGGACTAAAGGAAAACAGACCCATATTGAAGGAAGGCTTCCAGAACAATGGCTGAGGCAGCAGGGGGAAAATCAAAGGATTTGCCACTGGTGACCTGTTGTAACTTTATCAAAACATATCTCTGAACAGAACATTTATTTATGAGAAGCCCACCAATGATAGAGACATGCAGGCCAAGGGGAAAAAAACCTCAACAATTCTTATTTTTGGCTCAGTGTGCTGGTCATGTCTTCCATAACAWTTGTCTTTTTTTAAACTTAAACCAGCAGAAGATGCTGATTTGAAGTATTTTGTTACAAATTTCCCAGAACAGAATTAAAGTCATCAGTGGGGTTCAAAAAAAGGACAAAACTCAAACATTGGCTGACTTTGGTGACCAGTGCACACCCTTCAGCACTGCAGCTGGCACTTGGATCCATTTCAAACATAGACAATGCAAAAGTAGCTCTGAAGAAGCAAAGAAAAGCCAAAATATGGCCTTATAAAACAAYTGGCAGAACCTCCTCTGCATAATAGCATCTGGTTGACTCTCCCTTCAGCCTCAACTTCTTACAGGCCTCAGCACCTCCATGTCTAAATTACAATTTTTTTGAGTTATTTTAGTTTTAAACCAAAAGCAACAGTATTTGGTACTGCCTCTAAAACCAGAGAGAAACAGTTATAGCCAGGCAGGGCAGTTATGTGAATCTCTAATTACAGTTATGTCATTACTAACAACTCCAGTTTTCAGTTGTTTTTTTTTTTTTTCCTTTTGAACTTTCTCCATCGTAACTGGCTTCTGAACTAATGTTTTAATTGTACTCAAGCCACTTTGAGTATGCAAATTAAACAGCAGTAAATATAGTAACACTATTGTACAACAATAAAAATGCAGAACATGAACAGTAAGAAAACAAAAGTATCTTGTTCTTAACAACAGGGAAAATGGGATTTGCAGGAGGGATCTCTCTGAACAGAGGTGAACAGGAGCCACAGCCTTGGCATCCCTGAAAGATCCTTGGCTTTAGCAGCACAGAGTGACCTGTTTCTTCCCTCTTTGTCCAAGGCAGGGGTGAGCATACGAGAGGAAAAGAGTGGCTGTCTGGTCACTCGTGTGTTTACCGGTGTGTGAACAATATAATTCCAGAAACAGCCTCAATTCTGGCTACATTCTTCAATTTCCAGGACAGTGGTTGTGCTGAGGGAAGCTTCAACCTTGCAGCTGACAGCCAGCTGGGAATACAGACTCATTTTTCACTTATTTCCTCCATCTTTTCCACCAAAGGCTCCAGATTCTCATTTTAAGATCAGATCATCAGTTATCCTTGTTTTTCAACACTACCAGTATTCATACTCCAAACCATGTAAATGCAAGCTAGAAAATAAGAAGTGCTCTGACTCCTGCAAAAAGTGCTGCAAGTGCTAGAAAATAATATTCAAGAAAGAACCATCAAAAACCATTASTTTCTGGGGGTGTGTGTTACTTAAACTTCTCAGAACTCACAGCATCTCTTCTCAAAGTGGTTCCCCTTGAAAGCAAAAACTCAAAACTGTTTAGGGAAGCTTTGCCTAACTCAGGAGAACATCACCACAGTTCCATTCCCATTCCACAACATGTCTGTGGCTCTGCTGATCTACTCTGCAACAGGGCTTTTAAACATCTGCAGGATTGTCTTTTGCTTGTTTACAGGCAGTGAACAAATATCATTTGTGTCACTGGTGTTAACCACACAATTCAAAACCTTTCCTTCCTTGATACTGGGGGACTTCACTCGAATCCTGGCAGGGGACTGCCAGTTTTCATTGCAGGAACCTTTCCGAGTCTTRTGCTGATTGGTTTCAGCTTGTTTTTTTGATGCCTTTGAGTCTTTTGCCATCTTGGGACTTGCCTTTCTGGCAGAAGAGTCTTTCACAGACCGAGGTGGTTTGGTGCGAAGGGGATACTCGTCTGGAGAGCCCTTCTGTCGATTCATTGTCCTTTCCTCCTTGTTGAGCTCCTTCTGCAGCTGCAGGGCCAGAAGCCTGTCCTGCTCCTCCTGCCTACGCCTTTCATAGAACTCCTGCTCAAAGGCTCTTTGTGTTTCCAAGTTGAAATCATTAATCTGCTCCCCCTGGTCTTCTACAYCTCCTGAAGAGGTTCTTCTCCTCTTATCAAGCACACACAAGTCACCCATGGCATCAGCTGGGGCCTGCAGCAACTTCCTTTTGGGATTCTCCTTAGTGTTCTGTGGCCTCTCTGGTGTCTYTTCACCCGAGTGTCCAGCCTCCTTCCCCAGATCACACAACGCAGTCTGGCTGTCAGACATCACACAGTTCATTTCTGACTGAACAGATGTACCAGTTTCATCAGACTTTTCAAGGTTTACRCTCTGCACATGTGTTAAATTGCCACTGTCTGACTCAATTCCATCATCTTCTCCTTTGGATCTACAAAGAACTGTTCTAGACCCTTCCCCTTCTGTGGCTCCATGAAGTACATCTGGAACTCCATCTTCTGAACAATTTGGTCCTGGTGTTTCTTCCTGCTTGACAGTGGCAGCTTCACCTGAAGCTGAGGCACTGAAATAGTTCATGCATGATTCCAAAAACGAATCCTTAGCACCAGAATCTTTAAGTACACTGGTCAGCTGTGGAGACAGGGTTGGCATTTCCTCTTGCTCATCCTGCAACRCAGAACTGCTGCCTTCATTGCTGTTGGGCTCCTGAAGAAAAGGGAGACACCACTAATTAGGTAAATCCCATGGGTGTGAATAAATGGTAATTTCACTTCTCATGGCTGYATTGCCCCTGAGCGCCCCTCAGTGCAACTCATATACTTGTCTTTTTAAAAAATACCTTTTTAATAATAATGAAAATATTTTATATTAATAATTAACTAATAACAAAAGTAGCTTTAATAAAAATGAAAATATCTAGAGTAACTGCAGAAGCCCAGCTAAAGGACTGAAACCACAACTGCAGCATTTTCCTCTTATCAGTGACTCAGGCCAACTGTGCAAGCCTGCTCATCTTCTTTGGAGGCCTTACAGGGAGGAGCAGCCAGCCAGCCATAGAATGATGTAAATCAGAGTGCACCTTCCTCCAGCAKGCTCCAAAAATGGAAATCATGAATACTGAAGGTAGTTGAAAAAGGACAATATAACCTACCCAGCTCTGATATGCAAGAGGAATAGAGGATTGGAATCCTATAGGAAAGGGGAAGATATCCCATAATTACTAACTGTGAGATTTGTAATAAAATTATTCCAGTTACCGTAGAGACAGAGTTGCTCCTGCCTCTTCCTGTGGTACTAGAGAATGATGCTGATCCCAACACACCATGATTCTTTGGAGACAAATACCTAAAAAGGGAAAAAAAAGGATACCCCTTTAAACATTTTGTTCTTGAATTATCAGGTTTTTGCATTAATCAAGATCTTCAAGTTTATTCTGACAAAAAAAAACAAGAAGGGCAAGTGTTTCCTTTCTTTTCCTGTGAGGAAATGTTTTAATCTTTAACACTTCACATTATCCCCAATTATCTAGAGAAGTTGGCCTACAGCATTCCAAAGCAGCAAATGGAGTGAGGGACACTGAAATAAGCCAATAATTAAAGAAAAAACACTTTGCTGAATCCCTTACTTCTGAATGTCTCCAGAGTTGCTTGGTTTGTTCYTTTCCTTGGACAAGTTCGCTGGGGACGCCTGAAGTGAGACGCTGTGTGCAGGTGACGGGCTGCCCAGTACGTGTCCCTCGGGATCCTCATTCTTCCATGACAAGTAAAAACAGCATTAGGTAAAACAAAACACAACACAAACGGCAGAAACCCCAGGGAGCTATTTTGGTTTTGATGCAGAATTAGTTACTTTTGCCCAAAGCGTTCCTAGAAATGTGAGTAACAGCTGGCTATGGAAAAAGAAACGTTACATGTTTCATACACCTTCCTGGATCTAGCACAGAAGGACDGGAGGCTTTGCTCAAATAAGTACACAGGTTTCATCATTGAGTAATAAAAAATTAATTAACCAGAACAAATGAATAGAACAAAAAAAACATCCAAAAGGTTAAGGTACATTTTCACTGTGSGTTCCTTTTCTCCAATACATGTTACAGACATTAATTTCTTCCAAAGAAGGATTTTTAAAATTCTGAGGAAAAGGAAGCATACAGGAGAAAAATGAATGTTTTGAAATGTGTCAGAATGAAAACATGCAGCACACGTGCTAGACGCTGTATTTCAAGCGTGTATTACCCAGGCTTCACCCTCCCATTGTTTTTTTCAGAAATTAATGGCCAATTAATGCTTTAAAATACCGGAGGGTAACAACAACTACAACTAAAATAAACTTAAATTACTCCAAATTTTAACATTTGCTCTGAGAAGTCCAAGTTGCTTGCACTAYGTCAACATTTGCTGCTGTGCCCCTCAAGCCTAACTCACCAGACTGTTACTGAGCTGCCAGGCCAGCTCTTCATCTTGCTTCAGCTGTTTCTCCATCTCCCTCCGTCTCTCTTCTGCCAGCCTCTGCTCCTCCTCCTCCTCTGCCAGCAGCCGTTGGATGTATTCCTCACTCGCCTTGTTCTCCTCTTGTTCGTGTGCTCGCTTTTCTGCCTCCACCTAAAACAGATGTTTTAAAAAGTCCACCTGCTTACTACAGCAGGACCACACTTCACACCAGAATCTCTCTCTGACACTCCTTAAACATGAACCAYTCGCTGTTCACAAAAATAGAGCAGTATTTCATCGCACAAGTCTCAAAGATGGAAGAATCACATGGATACCGTGTGCAGAGCMTTGGRTTTGATCAYGGGACAAACCTTTTGCCTTCTGTAAGATTATACCATTAGCCTTGCTTACTTGCAAGGTAAACTCCATTTCTCACCTTTTCAAAGTGTTAGTAACAAAAACTAAGATCTCCAAATACATCAATCTACAGAGAAACCGGGATGAGGATTTTTTCTAAGGGAATGCCAGCTATCCCACAGCATTTGCTGAACCTGCTTCTATCATTATATACCACAAAGACAGCACATTCTCWCTTCTAGAAGAGTCCTGCTCTCTTGAAAGATGCAAAACCCAAAGCAGTAGGCCAAGAATTTTAAATCTGCCTTCTTTACAGCACACATGTGCTGAAAGATCAGATACCAGCAACTCCACAAGGACAGCAAAGTACTTCAAGAATAAAGCTTTCTTTGGAAACTCCCCCCAGACCTCTGCTTCATGTGCTCCTGTAACCACCAGCAACAGGCTCTTAGGGAAAAGTGGATGCCCATATATTTTCCGACTCTAAATTTTAATATTACTGTGCTGGAATTGGAAGAATCCTTAAACAGGCCAAATTGTGAATTCCTAAAAATATTTTCTGTTTTTCAAATGAGCACAGGTAGCAAAAAGAACAAAGAAAATTATGCATGTTCATTACTGAAGCTCATCTAATTGCAGTCTCTTACTTGAAAGGAAATCAAGAAGGCAAATACAAAACCAAAGCCCAAACAGTTCCAAACTTCTACACTTGCTTTTACGTACATTGACTGAGAGGTGAGGTAGGAGGTATAGATCAAGAAAATTCAAGAGATGTCATCTCATGTCAAATACAAAGAAATCTCTCCTCTTCGATCAATTTAATTCATGATTCAGGAGAGACCAGTGCACTCTTGCAGCTGCAGTGCCCTTTTAAGTGTCCTCATTATTCAATAACATTACAGCTGTTTGTGGGAACAATTTAAATAACTGGATACAAAGCATTTACRCTTGTTGAATTACTTTTAGACTTACCTTACTAATCTCTGCTTCATATTCCTGCCTCAGCTCCCCAGGCTTGCTCAGCTGGTGCCGTGGCTTGGGTACACAGACTAACCAAGAGGAAGGAGAAGAAAAAAAAACAAAGTGAGGATCAAAGCAAGTTCATGACAGTCAACAATGAAGGATTTTAACAACAGATGACCTCCATACCCTGTCATGGGAATGATTTGACTTAAATCAAGTGCTGTGATTAAAAAAACAAAGGAATAAAGGAAAAAATACCAAGGAAWAAAGTTAACAGTAGAAACACAGTAGAAAAGTGTGATGTTACAAAGTGGCAAGAACAGGCAGTGTTTTTCAAGCACTCTATATRAAGCAAACAGGATGGAAGAAGYTGCCCAGAGAAGCTGTGGCTGTTCCTGGATCCCTGGAAGTGTCCAAGGCCAGGTTGGACAGGGCTTGGAGCACCCTGSGATAGTGGGAGGTGTCCMTGCCTYCCAGGAAGGTGGAATGGGATGGGCTTYAAGGTCCCTCCCAACCCAAACCATTCCCTCATTCATTCTCTTTTGGTACACTGACCATAACTTGTGTCTTTCACTCTTTCTGATTAAAAAGAGCTCAGAACATTTCAAGTAAAACAAGTGCCCTACAGCCAAGCTACCAACAAACCTCCTCCAAGGGAGCTTGCAACATAATAAACCCCAAAACACTTCTTCAAAAAGTTAATCAGATTTCACTTCCTTCTCTCTGACACCACAATTTTCAGCTCAGAGATTCTTGCACTGACTGAACCCCTGGAATTTCAACCAAATTACTTAACACCTAAAAACCTTTTAACCACTTCACTTACTTGATAGTGACAAAGAAACACTCCCACAGACTCAAACAGTCTGCTTGCAGATACTACAGCTACAAATGAGCAATGAATAAGGCCAGGCAGTCACACACCCATACCTTGCATCAAAGGCATGAACAAATACCCATTGAAATGACCAGACAATGTCATTTTTATCCTCTGTATCACAAATGGAAAAGGCACTGCCCACCTCTTCTCTGTCCTTTTTGCAGTACAGCTCTGTCTCTGCCTCACCCAGCAGTAACATACCTGCTACCCACAGAATTTAATTTCCCAACATCTGAAGCCCACCCACAGATTACTATGGCAAAGCARACACATCCCAGGACAAGTGACATCTCACTTACTTTCTTCATCCAAATCCTGTCCGTTAATTCTCCGCTGGCACTCCGCCGGGAAATTCTTTTGAATCTTCTCCCAGAGTTCCCAGTTGATATGAGTATTTCTGCGAGTRTTGTACCGTGCCCAGGAAGAGACTCGGCGCCTACAAAAGGGGCAGCAAAGGCTGGCCTTTTCCACTGTCATCTGGAAGCAGGAGTTGCAGAGGGTATGGCTGCACGGCAGCGTGACAGGCTCCAAAAAGATCTCCATGCAAATCTGGCAGAGGCAGTCAGACAAGGAAAGCGGGGCCGTGGATTTCTGCGACATGACTTGAGGTAGAGGAACAACACTACGACAACATCAGGACCTGAAAGCAAAAATAAACATTTATGTTCCTTATGGGCAGTAAAATAAAGGAAAAATACAAAATGCTTTACAGCCACTTTAAGAAAACATTACAGGATTTTACAGGCCTGCTTAAGCAGCTGCTTTTGCTCAGGACCTGCGAGATTCCTGAGGAAGAAGGAGGTCTTTACAGAAGTCATGGAAAAACTGTACCAGGTTTTCCTACTGCAGTTTCCTGCGAGCTGTAACAGGTGCTTTGGGGATAGCAAGAAGGTGGCAAGGACAGTGGGGGTGGAAGAAGATGAGAGTTCTTCCAGCCACTTCTATTAGTCCCCTCTTCTCCCACCACTCTATATGATACGCTGTGCTGGATATGCAGTTACCTTAACCTTTCATTCACTCATTTTTTCAGTATATCTGCATCCTTCAAGAGCTGCTTTCCAGACTTTCTTCCAGCGCATTCCGAAGGTGAAATATATCAGCGCAGAGCAGCTTCTTCCTAATTCATTTGCTTGCTTAAGCAAGGACTATAAAGCTAAAATACCTGTTTTCTTAAGATAAATGAAGAATAAAAGCTTCAGCACCTTCTGTTATGACTTGAAACTGTGGGGATCATCTGCCTCCTCACGCGATTTTTCCACTTGGCCCAGCAACACTGTGGGAGAGAAAACAAAAGACACATACAGCGTAAGAACAAACCCACTGATTTTTAAGTTACCAGCTTCTTAAACAGGCAGCTTCAGASACTGAAGGCCCTTGAAAGAAAAGCTGCCATTCCTCACAGAGAACTCGCCGTGGAGACAAACACACGTTAAGGCGGGCTTATTTCTGCGATTTTTATTGATAAAAAAATAACGGCCAGGCCGTCGGCGCCCAGCGGAAAGGGGGTCCCTGGCCACCCCCGGTCCCCGGTCCCTGAGGGTCCCAGCGAGGGCCCGCACCCACCGCTCCGGAGCCCGGGAATGGCCGCCGCTCCCGCAATGGCGCCCGCGCTCCGCCCTCACTGAGGGACCGTTCCCGCCACGCGAGCCRCGGCTCCGCCTCCGCCTGCTTTTCCTTCACCTCCTCTTCTCCTTCCTTCTCCTCCTTCTTCTGTKTTTCTGTCTCCTCCTTCTTCTCTTCCACCTCCTCCGCCGAGCCTGCTGGGAGACAGAGGCCGCGGGCCCTCAGGGGGAAGGCGGGCGGGCCTGTGCTGGTATGGCGAGGGGGAATGGCTTCGCACTGTGGGAGGGCAGGCTTGGGTGGGATGGCAGGAATCAATCCTCCCTGTGAGGGTGGTGAGTGCCCCGTCCCCTGGAGCCGCCTTTGGTCGCTGTTTTTGTCGCTGTTTATTATCTCTGTTTGGTGTCCGGCTGTGCTCACCTGGCCGCGGGTGCCCAGGGCACATCCCGCCGCAGATCCTCCTGCAGCCGCTCCTCCTGCAGCTCAAAGCCGTGCGCCAGGCTCTGCAAGCTGCACTCCAGCTCTGCGAACCGCGCCTCCAACGACACCAGCCTGCTTTCSACCCTGCGCGGGGGACAACAACAGTAAGGGAATTTCGAAACCATTGGGCATTTTCTGCTGMGGCATTGCGCTGTGAACAGCTCCAGACCCCGTTATGAGGCTYCTCTCAAGCGTTGTGAGAACAAACATCACTAAAAGTCAACTGGTTTTTGTCGCATCCCACGTCTTTTTGGCCAAGATCTCATAACCTCCGAATATAGCTGCAAAATTAGTATGTAGATACATCTGCAGCTCTCAAACATTTGCATTATTACTGACAGTTTTTTCTCTTAACACATTTGAGGTTATTTATGCTTTTATTTGTAATGTCATGRTCTTTTGAACCATTTTCATTTAACATTGAGCAGAACTTCTCATTACTCCTCTGGTTAAAAATTATGCAAGTACTAAACAAGCCACCTGCAGTGTTTCTCTCTTCTAACAGCTCATCCTGCTCTGGATTTCTCTTTTGTAGGACTGTCCTTCCATGGACAACTGTGATGAAAACTGCTTCATAGCTTTTATTACTAYTGCTACTTTTTACTACTACTGCTTCATAGTATTTATTAACTGCTTTTTCATTATTTGGTATCTRTTGTGTTTTTCCTTATTTAAAAATGTAAACTATAAAGTTGAGGTTTTGAGTTTTCAGCTACTCTACTTTGGCTGAAGAAAAGTGCCTGGTTTAAAAGAACTCACTGTGTTAAGAGGCAAGGTACAAGGGAATCAAAGTGTTTATCTTTGTGCCCATTTCTCTCTTTTGTGGAGATACAGRATGTGTTGGGCTTCTGTCACTTTGGGTGGTTTTTGGTTTTCTCTACCTTTTCCTCATTTACCTGATTGACATCAAGGTGTGTTATTGAGAATCCCGAGGATCTCAAAGCTAACATAAATAATTCAAAGTGCCTTCCTAAATACTGAAAAATATCTCAGTACTATGTACTCAATAAGTGATTTATTAGCTGAACATCACCTGCTCCTTTACAGAATTTTTGGTCATTTTTCTTTTTATTTTACTGGCAGAACTTCAGGCTGTATCAGCCAACAATAACTACAACCATCAGCAAATACTATWACAGACAAGACCCTGCATTTATTTATCTTTCTTCATCCCTAGTTTGCTCTACTGCTTCTCTTGCTATTATCATTGTTTTAATGTTCAGCGAATTGAGTTCTGAATTGTGGCCTGCCTGTGTTAAACACTCTATTCATGWCTTTGCCTTGTTTGTTGTGGCCCTATTATGAGTCTCTGGCTGAACTTCTTGTAAGGACAAAATACACAGCAGCTTTCAGGTGATGACATTAAAAAATAAAAAATCCAAACAAAGCAAAACCCTCCAAATGATTTTCCATTCTTTCACACATATCCCGTGGTATTTTAAAGCCTGTTGTTGTAAAAGACGGACCAAAATGCCATTTTTTCCTATCAGCAGCTCCTCCCTCTCCCTGCCTTCCTCTGCTCCTGCCTTCCCACTTGTCCAAACCAAACCCTGCTTTGGATTCTGTCTGCAGCAGACTTGAATGAGGACAAAATAAAAACACATCAACAGTGGCATATTTTAGTAAGTATCCCCAACCTTAATTCATTGTCTGGCTGCTTATGCAGATCCTTGTCTAAAGATTATCTGTTGTTTCCTGAGGCTAGAGAGGCTTCCTCTGCAGCCCAGTGAAAGCTCATCTTACTGCAGTAGGACTCCTCTTGCTTCAGCAAGAATGTTGGGACTAAAATAGAACTTWAATTGGAAAATTGAGCCGGTGTCATGTAGAAATGCAGGGAGTTCAGGAGAACTGGAAGGATTGATGCACCATAATTGGATTGAATCTGTCAGCACAGAGAGAGCAAGTGCAGAAACTGAGGTGATGTGAGTCAGGGTTTGCCTTGAATAAGTTTCACAGCTGGGTTGTCAGATAATGAGTGTCCTTGCCGGTGAATTGCTCCCTGGTTTGCAGTTTTTATCATGGTAAATAAGCTTCCTCATGGCCCATTCTCCGACTTCCTCCTCTACAGGTAAGAGTARAGTTATCCAAGATCTTATCACTAACGCTATTCTCAGTGCAGCAGTCGTTTCTCAGCAGCCTTTAGTCCAGCTCTTTGGTATTTGATCAGTTGTGCCTCTCCAGCACTTTTTAAAAAAATAATATTGCCTATTTTCAAATTAATCTTCTGTATTTTTAAGCACCTGCAACAAACATTTCAGCATTTGCCAAAATGTCTGTTCAGTTACACCACCACGGTAGATCCATAATTGATCTCCCACAGCTGTTACTGAATTCTGATAGACTGAGTGCTGCTACCTCTTGATCTAAGTTTGGAATGAAAAGAGGAAGAATGGACTRAACCTCCTGCTTTCATTTCCATCCTGACCTCTGAACACTTTTTCCTTCAGTGTAAGTGAAGGTACCATTGAGTCAGTGACCTCAAACTCTGACTGGTGTACACACAAACCACATCCCCATTCTTTAATTGAAGCTTTTAAAATTCCCTCTTGTTAGCACACAGAACATACTTGGAAGCCGAGCAGTAAAAGCTCCAGCATTCCCATTTCTCTGGAAGTGTGGTTCTATATGAAACTTTATTTCTGCTATTCAGGCATTTACAGAAAATGACATTTTAGTGCTGTCACATGGGTTTTATTTTCCAGGCCAATGCAGCACCCCACACTTCTCCAAGCTCTCCCTGTTCACTCTCTCCATGATATGTTGGACACAAACTTCTTCCAGAAGTTTTACACAGAATTAATTTTTTTCTTTCAGGAGTGGTTCTATTGTTTCTCCCTCTGSTCAGGTCTCCAATAGGTACTTTTGTGTTCACCATTGTGTGAACCAGAGTAGTAAAGGCTGTGGGTGAACTAACAGTATTAACAGTGTCTTGGCAACAGGAAGTTTCTTTCCAAGTCTGTCAACACATAATCATTCAGTTCCTAAGCAGAAGGTCTGCATCCCATCAGCTATGATACTTTTGACAGGGATCATTTTTACTGCAGGTAAACCACAGTTGTATGTATGACACCTGATTTGATTTTAAAATGTCTTGACGCTGTTTGCATGGTTTGATTTTAAAGGCAACATTGTAGTAGAATCCCTGAATGGTTTGGGCAGGAAGGACCTTAAACCCCACCTCATCCCATCCCCTGCCATGGGCAGGGACACCTCCCACTGTCCCAGGTTGCTCCAAACCTCATCCAACTTGGCCTTGGACACTTCCAGGGATCCAGGGGCAGCCACWGCTTCTCTGGGCACCCTGYGCCAGGGCCTCCCCACCCTCACATAATATATAAATCCAGACATGAAAATCCACRGAGTGGGGACAGCATCCTGCCTATCTCTTACTGCTGAGAGTTTCAGACCCTTTTCTGACTCTTGTTCCTGAAGATCCATGCTTTTATCTTTATATCTGATCTGAGCCACCACCACTGGTGCCTGCTGCTGCACAGTTAGTGTGGACCAGTGCCAGCAGGGGCAGCTGAGGCTGGATTGTTTTACAGGATGACTGTGAACCTGTCGGTCATGTTCCTCTGCCAAATGAAGCCTTGGGAAATGGAGGGTGAATCAATGTCACCTATGTCCCAATTCCCCAGTGATGTTGATTTGCTTTCTTTAAGGTCCGTTCTTGGGGGKTTTTTGCTAATGATAACCACTTATTCCCTATCTTTGAACTCTCCAGACTCTGAAGCATGGTCTGATAATCAGAAGTTCAGCTCCAACCTCCCATTAGAACAGCAAACCCCAAATTTCACAGAATCACAGAACAGGTTGAATTGGAAGGGATCCACAAGGATCCAACTCCTGGCCCTGCACAGACACCCCAGCAATCCCACCCTGTGCTTRAGAGCATTGTCCAAACCCAGCCTTGGGCCCGTGACTATTCCCTGGGGAGCCTGTTCAGTGCCCCACCACCCTCTGGGGGAAGAACTTTAATATCCAACCTAAACCTCCTGATACAACTTCAGGCCATTCCTTTGGGCCCTGTCACTGGTCCCACAGAGAAGAGATCAGTCCCTGCCCCTTCTCCTCCCCTCACGAATAAGTTGTAAACCACAATGAGGTCTCCCCTCAGTCTCCTCCAGGCTGAACAGACCAAGAGCCCTCATTGCCTGGTGACACTTCATGCAGCTGCAGRCCATGGCTGATGGAGCAACTGCCCAAATCCTGYGGCAAACAGCCAGGATGGCAGCCASGGAACTGAACACCACCATGGAGCTGATGGCTCTGTCCCTCTTTCCTTCCCAATGAGTAAACAAGAGATGAAGCCTATTTATTAATGCTCCATCCCCGTATACACACAATGTCCACTTATACCATGTTCCCCACAGAAGTTTCCAGAGAAGCACAGGTTTGCTGTGCTCAGATTGTCTGTTCTGGTGTCCTGCTCCCCAGCCCTCCCCACCCTCCCGGTCCCTCCTCGCGGTGAGCSCAGCACCTGTTCAGTGTCTCGTTCAGGGAGCGCAGTGAGATGCTGGCTTTTGCCATCTTCCCGGACAACACCAACAGAAGAAAAGCCAGAGCGGGCTTGCTGCTCTCTCCTGAAGCCTGCAGCAACAGCAGGGACAGGGGATCC